CGGATTCTCCAGCATCTGCAGTTCCTACTATCTATGTTGGGGACAGCTTTGTGGTGAGGTGTCTTTTTACCACTGCTTGTGGGCCATGAGGAGCCAGCGTATTTCCCTGCAGTCACCCAAATTACTCAGACTATTCCATGAGCTGGGATTCTGATCAACTGGAAAATTAAATAAGTGCGTAAAAAGACGGAACTAATGTGGGGAAATGCAATGTTGTCATTTCGCAATGGAAAACAAGAGAACAGAATATTATTTGAATGGAGAAAAACTGCAGAAATCTGCAACAAAGGGACTTGGAGGTACTGGTGCATGAAATACAGAAAGCTAGCTCACAGATGCAGCAGGCAATTAGGAAGGCTAATGGAATTTTGGACCTTACTTCAAGAAAGTTGGAAAATAAGAGAAGGGAAATCTTTCTGCAACTGTACAAGGTGCTGGTGAGACCATATCTGAAGAACTGAGAATAGTTTTGCCCCCTTATTTCAGGAAGGATATAATTTCATTGGAAGCAGTTCAGGGAAAGTTCATCAGGGTGATCCCTGGTAATAAAGGATTGTCTTATGAGCAAAGGCTGAACAGGTTGGGACTCTGCTCACTGGAGTTTAGAAGAATCAGAGGGGATTTCATGGAAACAGATAGGATTCTTAAGGGACCTGACAGGATAAATGCTGAGAAGATGTTTCCCCTCATGGGAGGTTCCAGGACTAAAGAGGATAGTATCAAGATAAAGTGGTGCCAAGTTAACACAAACAAGGAACAATTTCTTCTCTCAGTGGATTGACTGTCTTTGGAACGCCTTGCCACAGATAGCTCTGTTGGCAAAGTTCTTGTGTATATTTGAGGCTGACATAGATTTTGATCATTCAGGGAATCAAGGGCGATTGGGAAAAGGCAGGAAAGTGGACATGAGGAGTGTTGAGTTGGTTATGATTCTAATTATTGTCAGAGCAAAGGGTGAACAGGCTCGAGGGATGGATGGGCTCATTTCCGTTCCTATTTCTTATGGTCTTATTAACTATTCGTGATAAAGGATTGGCTTTGTGGCCTCCTCTGGGGTGCCTCCTTCCTAACTAGGAGCTAAGTTTGTCAATCAGACTGACCTCCAGGTGAAGACACTGTCTGGGCCACAGAGTATGGTGAGGTGTTAAAGCATACAGAGAAACTCAGCTTTCAAATTTTACATCTAAAGAACAGTTCAACAACACGTGTGCAACACCAGTTTGATTCAGTGTGTCCCTGCCATAGTTGAATTTTATGCATATTAAACTTTCACATTTATGGGCAAAGGACATTTCAATGTTCACTTGTTGGCTAAAGATGATTGTATGCTGGCCAACTAGGACTTGATGCTACAACAATGTTACAGGTTTGACTCTATGAAACTCTGCCTGTGATAATAGTGGGGTGCGCTCTAACACGATAACCTTCAAGAAGTTTGGCACTTTCTCAATGAAACCCCATTTGCACTGATGCCATATTTGTCAATTGGTCATTGAGATAAATCAGAACAACTTACCCTTTGGGCAAACAGTAGGTTCCACTGCGCTGCTGTTGCCGCACACAGTACCAGCAGGACAAGGCAAGCAAATACCAGCACCAGGGAATGCATTGTACGTCCCGGCTTTACAGGCTATTTCTCTGATTATACCAGCTGGACAGCGAAAGCCTCTGGGACACACATAACCCTGAATACCATCTGAGGGACGAGGCACAGTACTTCCAGCATGGCAGACGTACCTGTGAAAATTCCACAGATGCATATAAAAACAGCAAATATCCATTTTTAGACTGGAGCAACAGTTATGTTTGCTTAAATGCTTACATGCGTATGAGCGTGGATATTCTATACAAGGTGAGAGGTACTTTAACATTTATAAAGATGAAGGCTCAAGGGAAGGTATTTACAAAATCAAACTAACTTTCATATAAGTGGTTGCTGGAATGAGGAATATTAACAACAGAGGACTTCTTGTAGTGAAATGGTTTAAAATAAATAGAGAAATTTACATTCTTGATTCTAGACTTATAGGCTAGAAATTTATCTCAACTGGTGTCACAAACCAGGGTGTATTGGATCACCCACCTAGTCTGCACAGCATCTGATACCCAGTCCCGATGCCACCAGAACAGATGATTATTTTGATGCTGACCAATATGTGTCACTACTTCAGATTAATTTCTAGCCTCATTGAAGCACCTCACATGCATTGGATTGCTTCAAGTGTAAGCAATTGTTAGAACCTACTGTCTACAAATGTTTAAGCATTAGTTGCTTTTTACCCAAGCCAGTTTTTCAGGGAAGTTGGGTTGTCTCATTGATCACCTGCATCCAACGAGTGCAAAATCATGTATCAGATTAACTGGACTTCATTTCTTTCTCTTTCTATTATCATTGCATCGGTCAAATACGGTGACAGTGTCCAGTTACAACATTATTTGCAAAAGTAACTTGCTGCTCAAATGATCTAAAGCACTCACAATCTATAGGTTAATCAGTTCTAAAGAATGTTGTGGTTAAAAATATTTCAAAAATGCCTCAGCTAGAAATTATAATAATCACAAAGTGAAGGCAAAACAATAAACCAAACCTCAGAGAAAGCAAGAACTGCGGATGCTGGAACCAGAGTCGATAGTGTGGAGTTGGAGGAACACAGCAGATCAGGCAGCATCAGGGGAACAGGAGAGTCAATGTTTTGGGCCTAGACCCTTCATCAGGACTGGTGAAGGTCTGGGCCCAAAACGTTGACTCTCCTGCTGTTCTGATGCTGCCTAACCTGCCATGTTCCTCCAGCTCCACACTGTAATAAACCAAACCTACCAGACTGACAGCAAGAGTGAGAGGTACTTAAGAACATAAATGCAGAATAGAACAACTGTAAGTTTGAAGAGGTTGACACTTACCCAGGGTCACAAAGTTGAGCTTGACTCAAATCTGTCAGTCCTAACTGGTTACAATAGTAGCCATGAGGACAGCGTTGACACTGGCCTTCACTAGCCAGCCCCATGGTATGTGAGTATGATCCCTGTGGACAAGGCCATGGATGCTTACTACCCTCTGGACAGTAGTGACCAATGGGGCAAACATCATTACCAGTAAAAGTGGCATTATCAAATTCAACCTAAAACAAAGATATTTAAAAATGTACTAATTAATCCAGGATGCCACATTATGCAAAATTCTGTCTCTACCAACTCATATTTAATAATTCAATCCACAACATTACTTCAAAAGAAAAAAAGTTACACAGACTCTAAAGCTGGACACTGCTGTGTAAGGTAGTAGTTATGAAGAGATTCATATTTATAATACTTTGGCTCCACCCATCTTAACTGATACGTAGAGACATGGAGTTCCATTCTGGCTTTAAAAGAAAGCAAATATAATCGATACAGCTCCATAAGGCCCTAATAATTATATCAGACCAAAAGTAGGACTTGACCAAATGTCTTATTGTTATAATGCAAAAATCTTGTCATCTAAGTACAGTGTTTAATTAATATTCAACAGTGGTATGTCCTCCACTACTAACCACTAGGTAGGACAGATAATAAGATTTGTGGAGGTGAATGACCTCAAAAAATCCTTAGCTAGTCCTGGTAAAAATGGAAAATACCACAAGGTGACAGCAGTGGCCATCTGGCAAAATACTGCAGACCCATTCAACATCCTTTGGAAACTCTTAATTTTAATATGTACTGAATAGTAGACAGAGAAACATGAGCTTCAATATCTGAATTTATGTATTTTAATGAAGACAAATTAATACAGAAACTACAAATATGCTACACATTGTAGAAGCAGAATAATTTACTGGCCTCTTTGTTGCATTGATTATCCAATTAATGAGTTCAATCTTATTGTTTATGGACATAAACCTAGCATGTAGCTTTCTGCCATAATAGCTAAATAGGATGCAGGTAATCCCAGAACATGCTTAAAATGTAACTGATAATGAAGGGAATATATGGCAAAGCAGAGCAGATAAGCTATAAGGGAAAATTGAATGTACATGTGAATTCAGTAGGCAGGTGGAAAACAACGTTCCCTTGTTGAGAAAATTATAGTGCTTCACATTGGAATGAAAGAAGTCTGGGTCATATGTTGGAATATACAATAAGTTTAACGTAAAGCTGAAATAATGGGACAATCCTGCTGCTTTTATAAATCATTGACACAACTCTACCCACAGTACTCCAGCAATTCTAGTCATTGTAGCACAGGAAGGATTTTGTAATTATTAAGACAATACAGAGAGGACAACTGGAATAATTCAAAAATTGAAGAGATTAATTTAGGAGGATCCACCCTCCCCCCTTGGCTGTGGCCTGATGCCTCTTAGTCAGCCACTCTCTTAATCTGCTTGTCTGCAGCTAGGAAACGGAGACATAAATTTAATCAGGTTTTGCATTAAGGTTGATCAGAGCCGAGCTGTAAATCAGTCCAACTTGTCCATGCTGACCAGATATCCTATATAAATCTAGTCCCATTTGCTAGAATTTAGCATATATCCATCTAAACCCTTCCTAATCATGGATGCATCCAGACGCCTTTTAAATGCTGTAATTGTACCCAGCTCCACCACTTACTTTAGTAGCCCATTCCATATGTGCACCAACTTGTGTGAAAAAATTACCCCTCAGGATCTTCTAAAATCTTTCCCCTCTAACCTCAAACCCTATGCCCTCTAGTTTTGGATTCCCCTACCCTGGGAAAAAGACCTTTACTATTCACTCTATCCATGCCTTTCATGATTTCATAAGCTTCTATAAGGTCACCCTTCAGCCTCCGACCCTCCAAGGAAAAAAGTCCCAGCCTATTCAGCCTCTCCCCATAGCTCATCCTTGTAGATCTTTTCTGAACCCTTTCAAGTTTAACAACAATTTTCCTATAGCAGGGAGATCAAAACTGAATGCAGTATTCTAAAAGTGGCCTCACCAATGTCCTGCACAGCTGCAACATGATATCCCAACTCCAATACTCAATGCACTGACACTGCTGGTATCTTTGATTCATCACACAAAGGGCAAATTTGCTGGAATAGTCAAAAATGTAAATGTGCCCTTGGACATGGGAAATGTCAGTGGTGTTCCTGCATCATGGCTTAGAAGAAATCTTGGATTTGTATGGGAGGTTGTTGGATAGACTTTGTGCTTTTGTCTGGAATCTTTTTTCCTTTTTTTAATTGTGTAACTTCATGGATCATGCTAGGACACAGATCCATGCATGCTGCTGGGTCACTGATAGAGGGCCTATTGTATCAACAACATTAAAGGTTTCAAGTGTATTTCTCAATATGGCTCATCAGGATAAAGAGAGATAATGTCAATGTAAGACCCACTGTTAGCTAATCATTGTAGACTATATTACATTGTGTCTGTTTCCAGTGTAATCTCCCTGGTTAGTGGCATGGACGGGGATTAGGTGATGCCGGTTACAGGAATGCCTGTAAAAACGCTCAGTGAGGTTTGGTCAAGAGGAATGAGAGACGGAAAAGTGACCAAACAATTAGATGCCAGATCAAGGAAATCTACTCCTGCTGATTGTTGGTTACGTGTGTGTTCCGGATAATGGGGACTTTACTGTACATCTCTTGTAAGATGCTTAAAAGAATGATATTCACATTTGCACGGGTATCAATCTTGGCATTTACTGTACGTCATGGAATTTTTTGGGATACATTACTGGATGAAGATAAAGTTTTCATCTTTTTGACTGACAGCAATGTAGTGTGGCTAGTTTACCACACATCCTGTCTGACTGGAGACTGTGAGCTGTGATATTACAGATACCTCATGGACCTTGTTGACATGTTTCTTTACCATCAACGGGGCTTTGGAAATAGCCTTGAAATTGTTCCTTGGTTAGCTCTTCACTGAGGAACATTATGTTGCATTTTAGGTTTCTCTGGACAATTGGATTTTTAGCCCAGCATGCTGTTGTAGAAGTTATCTTTCTGTGTCACGTAAAATAGGACACTGTCTTGGTGGCTGAGACAAGCCAAATTTCATACAGGATTTGGATGTTTAACTGAACTTTTTGATGGCTGCAGTAATTGAATGTAGAGGTGATGAAAGTAGTAGATGTGATTCACTCAAATGCAAATTAGATATTTCACTCTCAGAAAGTAATATTATGGAATACAGTTAATGCAAATAAATGACTTGATAAGTGTAGAAAGTTTGGCAAGAAGGGGCAATTTTGCACCCAGGGTTCCCAAAACTGCTCATCACCCACAACTTTCTCTCATTTCATGTCTGGGTCTATTGTGGATTAATTGCTAGAAATTGATTGGTATGATTGATGAATAACTCTGCTGTTGCTACATCATGTGACTATCAGGTTGGATAATGGTCTATCTCTGCCTCATGATTCCTTAGTTGTATATTCCACAAATTACTTTCTAAGGCTAGCCCTAGTTTAATTCAGCATACACTTCCTGTATATCTGAGAACCCACCATCTTCACTGAATGTAGGAAGTTTAAGGGAAGAGCCTTGTGAATTGAGTAGTAACTAATCAAGAAAATCAACTTCAGAACCTCAAAACAGTAAATGACAACATGGGTATTTTCTCACTGAAACTGTACAAGGTCAGAAGACTCAATGTAAAATGTTACATTGTAATATTAATTTCTTCAGTATTCTCTAGTATTTGATACAAAAATATTTTGTTTAAATAATATTACATAACATTCTCATCCCAATTTGTCTACTATACCAAATGCTTGACAGGAGTTGGGCTAAAGGCACTTCCAGTGCAATAGTATCCAGGGTGACAAGGTCCAGTAGGAATAGAGAGTCCAGCAGAAGCACAGTGCATACCTGTGAGAAAGATACACAAGACCCTGAACAAATGGAGCTGAGCTTCATGCAAAGAGCAGTGTTGTCGTTATTGTACTAGGCTGGCAATTTTCTCCTGACTTCAAATGGCAAATTGTAATTTTGATTAAATAAACAGAGCAAATAATGATGATGAAAACTGCTATTATCTTGTAAAAGTTAACTGGTCGTTCAGGGATGGGAGGGTATCAGACCTACGCTACCCCAGTTTACGCAATGTGGTTGATTCTGAATCCCTCTGGAGTGACCCTGGCCCATTATATTATCTTCTCAGGGCATCTAAGGACAGGCATTAAAAGATAGTTTCATCAGAAATGGTCTACTTCCTGACACCAATCTTTGATACATAAATAGCACCTGTGATGTGCTTTGGGATGTTTTATTACATTAATGGAACTAGGCAAATATAAATTTTGTTTGCTAAAGCACACATGTACAAGAACTATTTATGCCAGAAGAATTACACGGTACAATATTAAAAACTTATCTCATTTGGCGTGAAATTTGCTTTTGGTCTACTGATAAATAAAGTAGAGTTATATCAAAAGTCAAATTGTTTTGACTTTTCCCAGGACAACGAAGGTGCTTTAAATAAAATATACAATTTCTTAATCTCATAGTTTGTATCAGTAATTGTCTCCTTGTTCCATGTATTTTCGTCAAAAAATAAAATTATATAACTTCAGCAATATTAATTTTAAACTTCCCTATCTTCCAAGGTTTAATTATCTTGATGTTAATCATTTAATTACCATTGCCTCAGAAGGACACACAGCACCTAACGTTAGTCAGAAAAATAATGCCCTGAGGATCAACAGAGAAATTGCATGTAGCATCCTTTTCACAGAACACCCAAACGTTGGTTCTTACTTGGTGAACAGGGAACACAGCTCGACTCATGAGCTAAACCAGGTCGAAGACCAAATGTACCCTTTGCACATGGATGCTCTGTGCCCATAGTAGTGCCAGCTGGACAGAAGAAACCTGCAGGACATAGTTCATACAACTTTCTGCTAGAACCTTAAGTGACAAAGAAAACAAGTAAAATGTATAACTGTTATTTAACAGTAAATGACTTGGTGCCCTGAAATATTCCATATTACTGAATAATTGAATAAATATGATTTTGCATTTTAGTGTAATGGATTGGCCTTTCAAAGCATATCTCATTCTATTAACGCAGGCAACTTAAGACCTCAGTCTACTAAAGGGATTCATTTACCAACAAATGAAGGTCTAGTCTTATTATTCATTTCATCGGATAGAATAAGGATCATGGATAAGAGTCCATGGCAGATGCAATTGAAAATATATACTAACAAATTAGTTCAACATGAGAGCTTGCTGCAGTGTCCTTTTGGACTAAATCTCATTTACAATCAATTACTTTGTGAACTTTCTCCTTTATCGCAGTGGTCATGACAGGATGGTGCTGAAACCAGTTCAGTCCTGAAGCTTACTATAGGCTGAACATGCAACTGGATTGAGATCAGTATGGATATAATACATGAGATGAGAAAACTGGGAAGTGTGACAATGCGCTGTGCCAATGATATCTTTTCACATATACTGACAGTGATAATCAGCCAAAGAGCAACAGTTGGTACATTAACAGCATTCAGTGGTGGTCTTGATAACTCGCCAATCTGACTTTCTTTTGAAGAAACTCTGCCTGGTAAATTTGTCTGATTGCTCTTCTCATAGCAAGTCAAGGAATGCAAGTCATGGTGTAAGCAAAGAGGGTACACAGTCGGATATCACGTTCCAAAATCATAAAATTGTGGACTGAAGTTGACATAGATATTAATGCAAATGCGTGAGTCAAAGTAAGTGTGAACGAAATAACTGCACAGCCCTTCAGATTACAAAGTAACCAAGCCTTGATGAACAATTATCCTTTCAAAAAATAAAGATTACATAAATATGTGTATTCAGCCGCAAGATATTTTGACAAGTTTCAAAGTTATGATGACTTCCTTACCATTATTGAACTGACAAAAGAAACCAGCTGGACATGGGTCACAGGATTCTTGGCCTTTATTTGCTTGGTAAGTTCCTCCTCTGCATGGTAATGGAACGGAAGTTCCTTCAGGACAAAAGAAGTTTATCGGACAAACAAACAATATGGGGCGAGCTGAACTTTGACCTGGAGGGCAGTAGAATCCCACGGAGCAAAGACCATCAGGAACCTCATTAGCGGGACCTTGAAAAGGAAGTAGTGCAATTTTAAAGATTGCATTTAAATAACTCATATATTTTAAATACCCAATAATTCTCCTATAACACGATAATTGTGTTCTTGCGCGCTATAGAAAATCACTATGCGTGTACAGCAGAAAGTTTGCGTTATCCAAACAGCGCCCACTATTCATCAATCACGTTACAGCCAATTCGCATTAATGAAACACGCATTATAGCAGAAATACCTATAATAATCTTGCCAATAAACTTCACATCACTGATGCAAGTAATGAGAAACATAGCACTAATCTAATACTAGAGAGAGACACGGAAGCATCAATACCCCAATGTACATGTAGGTGCAAGAGCCATTCAACTGCTTTATGTTAATTCCCTACTCTTGGTCATGCTGCAGTGAGGATGTGCTGATGAGGTAGGAGTTGCTAAATGAAGAACAGATGTGTCTGCACGAGCAAAGTGACATGCAGAGATTTCATTGTTTCAGACTGTAAATCCCACTGTGGTCACAAAAACAGCATAAAATCTCAGAGCAAGAAACATCTGCTCTCTTTATGACAGAACTCTACAGTCCAAAAAATCTGGGAAAAATATCTGGCATTGAAATTAGTGTTGGCAATATTTGTAGTGCAATGTTTACTGTGTTCTTTTGACAATATTAAATGCTAGTTGTGTAATGGACAGAGTGATACATTATGAAGATATTAAGGTTTCATTGTTGGAATTGCCAAAGCAAGTTCTGAGCTTATCGATATTTTCTCTTTGTTAATATTGCAATTTTAATGTTAGTGCAAAGTATCCCTGAGTGTGTTGCAATCAGCATTCCTATTATGCTGCGCAATGATTGGGAACATATCATTTGGGAAACAAACATTGTATGAAAACAGCTGCCCATTTGTAATCATGCAGGATTAGAAGGAGCAGTGGATATGTTTACAATATTTGTTGAAATTTGTACAATTTCTCAAGTGATTAAAGTAATTTTACGTTTAATGGTTCTATCCCATTATAGTGCCTCAGCATCTTGCCTACATACAAGGCTTTACTTAGATCCAGCTGTTAAGTCATTTTTACCATCACAAAACTGTCCACTGAGACAAGGTTGGCAGTCTGAATCTTTTTTGTTACCAGTGCTGTTGCTGTAAGTACCAGGTAGACAAGGCACAGGAATAGTTGTACTGTTTGGGCAGTAAAAACCAGCAGGGCAGATATGTTGGTCAGGCTGAGTGGAGGCTGCATCACAGTAATATCCTGCGAAACATCCATCTGTAGCAAGAGGAGGAAATAATCATCATAACTGGCTCAATCTGCCTTTTCACTTTACTCCCGAAACATAATATTTCTTCAACAATCCATCCTAGAATGCAAGGGAGCCATTCATTTAAAAACTACTGGAGCAACATTTAAATGTAATTTGAGTAAAGTAGAAATTGTTCTTTCAACAACTTTGTTGGGAAACTATTACAGCAACAGCAGAATAAAAAGGCAACAGAATATTAGCTAATTTAAATTTTATATTCAAAGAGATTTAAAGACTATCAGAACTATTGCTTTTCTGTTTAGGTAAACCACCTTTTCCTACTATTGTACATTTTGTAAATGCTCTGAAATTTTGAAGTGTTTGAGAAGATTTGAAGCTTGGGTTGTGGAGGAGGTTGTAGACTTGCTCGCTGAGCTGGTGTGTGTGATTGCAGACGTTTTGTCACTCTGTTAGGTAACATCGTCAGTGCGCCTTCGGTGAAGCGTCGGTGTTCTGTACGCAGTCTAGAAGTAATGCCAACCACCCCAACAAACTGAAGCATAAAAATAACAAGTGGGACAGAACACCAACGCTTCACCGGAGGCGCACTGACGATGTTACCTAGCAAGGTGGCGAAATGTCTGTAACCAAACAAACCAGCTCAGCAATTCTACAAGCTCTGAAATTTTAATTGACACTTTCTCATTTTACTGTAAATTAACATGTAAAATATTAAGAAAGAACAAACCTGTTGGCACACCAAGTCCTGGCTCGGAACAGTATTTTCCTCCATCACATGGTAGTGGAGCAGAAGATCCAGTTGGACAGTAATAGCCAGCTGGGCAAAGCCCACCCATCAAATAATATTGTTTGAAACACCACTCACACCTAGTAAGGTTATCAAAATAATAAATAAGTGGAACAGTTTATGGAAGTTTACATATATTTTAAACTTTAAGGATAAAGGAAAACATTAGATTACTAAACCTGGCATAAAGACTATCCAGTCCCTCTGATGTTTAGCCAATAATCAGAATATCGTACAAAATATATGATAAGAGAGTGATGGATATGGGGAAAGGCAGGAAATTGGAGTTGAAGCCAAGATTAGATATTACTGAATGGCTAACCAATCTCAAGGGGCCTTATAACTCAACCATATTCCTATTTCTAATGTTCTTGAAGTAACAGAAGCAGGAAAGCTAGATACAGCAGTTGGAATGACTACACTAATGAGTTTATTTAAATTGTACAGTTGTAAAAGAGGAAACATATGATAAACACTGTCTTCTGTTATAGAGTCATACAGCATGGAAACAGACCGTTTGGTCCAACCAATCCATCCATGCTGAACATGTTCCCAATCTAAACTAGTCCCACCTATCTGCGCTTAATCCACATCTGAGCTTATCCAAATGTCTTTTAAACTGTGTAACTGTACCCGCATCCACCACTTTCTCTGACAGTTCATTGCACACACTAACCACTCTCTGTGTAAAAAAAGTTGCCCCTCATATCCTTTTTAAATCTTTCTCCTGTCATCTTAAAAATATGCCTCCTAGTCTGTTGTTTTGCTTTTTCCTCATTCTGAAAAGATTGCTGGGTAAGACTAGATGAGAATGTTAGTTAACAGATAAATCAAATCAATAAAGTTCTTTGGAAGCTTATAATTGAATTATACCTTTTAAATTGGATACGCTGATGTTAAATTGTCATAGATGTTTGGAAGGGTAAGATCAGAAGGAAAGGAGTTTAAAACAAGCATGCATCAGATTTGTACGCAATATATTGGACAATCTCCATGAAGCAGCTTGGTAAGGTTGAGTCTCAGCAGAATTGAACATAACGCTCCATACATTTTCTGCTCTGATTACAAGAAATCATTCTGACTGTTTCCATAGACAAGGCAGTGTTGAGACCGCTTCAACTGAATCCAGATCCAGTTAAACGTTTGTTTAGGCCAGACGGCCTACTCCTGCTCCTAGTTCTTATGTATAATTACTGCAGTGATGAAATACTTCCAGCAGCTACTTTAAACAGTATCTATCTACATCTTAATATTGGAGCAACAAACCATTTTCAGGGTATGTATATGAAACAAAATGTATCAAATAGTATTTTAAATGCAGGTGAAGAAAAGGTGGATTTCAACACTCACTCTGAGGGGGAGTTCAAGGAAATGTTAGAGGTTAAATGACTCAGCGTTGGTTTGTCAGTTGTGGATCCTCCAGTACAGTAATAACCTGCAGCACAAAACCCAGAGGGTTTCGAGAGACCACATCCACTACAGTACTGTCCTGCAGGGCATACCAGACACTCCCTCTCACTTCTGCTGCCTGAAGAAAGATAAAATATTTGTATGAGTGCTGACGAGGCTCATGGCACCGTGGATTAACTCAGTGCCCTACTACAAAATTTAGCACCAAAAGCCCATCACATTTACAGAAACATTTTCTCTCAATCAGTTAGTGAAATCACCAACATTTCTTCACTAATTCCAAACCAGTTCCTTAACATTTTATTCAAAAATAAATATAGTTTTCCTATATTGTCAAATTCTCAAATCATATCAGAAAATCATGGACAGGTCACAGTAGGCTCACAATGAGAGAAACATTTTGATGTCTCTGTTTACAATATTGATGATTATTACTACCTGACTGGCCACCGTATGTTCCTGGAGGACAGGGATATTGAGTGCCTTCCTTTGTTGCAGTGGGGCAATAACAACCTGACGGACACAGTTCAGGAATCATCGAAGTGGGGGGGCAGTAATATCCTGCAACAACAGTTAAATTGCGATGGAAATTTTAGATGCCCTGAACATTCTTTAAAAAGAAAAAACAGGCAGTGGTCATTTTGAGTTGTAATTAGCTTATAACCAAACTTCTGTTGATCGCATGATCAAGACAAGTCTGGCGCACGATGGGTAGACTGAATCTGACAACCTTTTCTGCTGTACCACTCTGATTGTGAATTTCGCAGCAGCTGTTTAAAGAATTTGCCTCAGATAAGTTGCATTGTCAGTGTTGAGACTGAACACAACCATACTAAATTTGTTTCTGTCTCTAATCCTCCTGTACCTCAATCAAAGACTTAAAGAACTGCCACCTTCAGTGACAAATGACTAATTTACAAATCATGACGTTGGCAGTTTGACGGCTGCATGTAAAAGGATTGCAAACAAAAATTTTAAAAGTAAATTCATGACCAGACAACTTATCCATGAGTTGGCCCCTTTAAAATCAATTGAAAAGAACTGAATGCTATGAAGATACGAACAAGGAACAGGATAAGGCCATTCAGTCGCTCAGGTCTGCTCTGCCATTTAATAAGATCATGGGTGATCTGACTGTCAACTCAAATCCACAATCCCATCTATTCCTGATAACCTTTTACATAGAATCCCTACAAGTGCGTAAACGGGCCATTTGGCCCAACATGTCCACACTGACTCTCTGAAGAGCATCCGAGCCAAACTCAACCACCTACCCTATCCCTGTAACCCTCCATTTCCCGTGGCTCATACACCTAACCTTCACATCCCTGGAAACCACGGGCAATTTATCATGGCCAATCCACCTAACCTGCACATCTTTGGACAGTTGGAGGAAACTGGAGCACCTGGAGGAAACCCATGCAGACACGGGGAGAATGTGCAAACTCCACACAGACAATCCTCGAGGCTGGAATTGAACCTGGGTCCCTGGTACTGAGAGGTAGCAGTGCTAACCACTGAGCCACTGTGCTGCAAACATCCTCAACAAGATTCAATCTACCTCTGCCTTAAAAAATATTCTAGGATTCTGCTACAACTACCTTTTCAGGAAGAGTATTCCAAAGACTCAATCATCAGAGAAAGATTTTTGCATCATCTCAGTTTTAAGTGGGTGGCCCTGAACTTTAACAAAATTCCTAGCTCTAGATTCTCCCATAACAGGAAATATCCTCTTCACATATACCCTGTCAATACCCCTCAGGAGTACGGTTCAAGCAAGTTATCTCTTACTCTTCTAAACTTCAGCAGCTCTAAACATAATATATTTATATTTATGGAATAATAATGAGTGCAGCATAAAGAACAAACACAACAAAAATGGCACAATCAACAACAATATAGGGCTTTGAAACCAAGCAAATACTCAAATCAGACGTGCTCAATAGGGAGCTCTGGAAATTGTTGCAGGTGTCAATACTTCTGAAGCCATAGCAAGATCAATTATAAGGATGGATGATGGAGCAGCAATCTGTTGCATATGTAGGACAAGAAAAAAAATAAACATCTATGCTTATCGAGATGCTGTATCACTTAAGGATATTTTACCTGCTGGGCAGGTTTTGCAATGCTCCAGTCCCTCCTCTTCAGCATAGGTTCCTGGTGGACATGGCTGTGGTAGAACTGACCCTGAGGGACACTGTTGCCCAGTACCACACTTTCCACCTTTTCCCAAGAAGAGCTGGGCAGGACCAGGATTGGGAATGTTCATCCCTGCAAACACAGAAAAACTATAATCCTTCTCAATGATTTCAGAATTATCCTGCATCCAGATGTTTTATTTTCATATGACTGCTTTTCCATCTCACGTTTCTAAATAAAATGCTTCAACAAAATTTTGTAGAGTTTATTTTAAGATATCGGAGCAGAAGGAAGCTATTTATTCCATTGTGTCCATTCCACCATTCAATGACTGATCTGAATCCTCAACTCGAATTTCCTGCCTTTTCTCCATATCCCTGATTCCCTTATTGATTAAAAAATGCCTAACACAGTCTTGAATATTCTTAACAACCCAACTTTGACAATCCGCTGTGGTAAATGTACATAACTTCACATTTTCTGACATTTTATCCCACTTGCTGAGTTTCTTGCCCAACCCATTTATCATGTCTTTAGACTTTGCAGGCTGCTTGTTTTATCCTCACCATTTGCCTTCCCATCTACCATTGTGTCATCCAAAAATTGGCTAAAAACAATCACACAAGCTTTTCTGGAAGATAGTTCCAAAGATTTGTGATCGTCAGAGGAAACAGTTTTGCACCATTTGTTTTACATGGTCGAACCCCTGTTTTTTAAGCAGTGATCCATGGATTCTCCCAAAAGAAGAAACATCACTGGGAGCTCCCATGATGCTTATATCCCATGTTCCAGCTTTGATTCAAAGGCTGGATGTTTTGCAAGGATGTTAACTGGGAGACAACAGCTACCCTCTGCAAATATGCCTCATAACTCCATTACATAACCACCCAGTTGAGGTTGAGGTTGAATGTTGATAAATGCTGACTATTCTTCAACCAGGGTCATGGTGGCAGAGAGGGCTGGTCCACTGAAGACACAAATATGATGCTTTGATTGAGCTGGGGTACACGCCTTGTAGAGTATGTTGCATAATCTTTACGCGCTGTACTTTGCCCAACTGGAACAGGCAAAGAGAGGATATGGTGGACAGGAAAACTGAACAGGAGTTTCCTCACCTTCTGCACTATTGAGTGCTGCATCATTGGTGCAACAACCCACTCAGGACTTATTTGACACCTAGTTCTAATGGAATGTGAAGTGTCATGATCTTTCACTGACTGTAAATCGGTTGTTGCTCAAAAGGCCAGCAGTTCCTGTCCGTTCCAAGAAGCGAGTACAGCTTTTCTTTAGTCAATACAGTGTGGAGCTGGAGGAAGACAGGAGGTCAGTCAGCATCAGAGGAGCAGGAAAGTTGACGTTTTGGGTTTACAGCCTTCATCAGCACTGGGGAGGGGGAAGGGAGTTGGGAAATAAATAAAGGGAGGAGGGGTGGGGCTAGCGGAAGGTAGGTGGGATGGTGATAGGTGGGTGATAGATGAAAACTCTGCAGCTTTTCTTTATTTGATTTTTCTTTGCTTTCGTTCTTTCTGAATTGGAACCTGAGTTGGGTTTAAACTGTCATGGGACAGGTTAGTTTTACCCTACTAATGAATTGTTGTTACAATAGTAATCCTGCTCCGTACGGTAGGAAATGCAGGTTCAGACATTTAGTGTATGTGCTTGGCTGAGGTGCCAGCGTTGCAAAGCTACCGTCTGTGAGATTATGACTGAATGCCTCTAAGTCAGAATGTCGTCTAAATGTAACTATACCCTACCACCGCAGATCACTGGTTGGTTTGGGATAACCGACCGTGGTTGGTGCGTTGAGCTGCTCGATTCAGGGCAGGAGCTCGGCCATACGGGTGCTGCCTCTCTTGTAAATGCACAGAAATGCTCGTGGGGAACCTGGTACTAAATCATTCATAGACAACTTGATTCTGGCTCAGGATTTCGTAAGCAGCTACCTTGCAGTGATCTATTGAATGTCGAAAAAAAGCAAAAAAAAAAAAGAAAAATAAAAGAGAAAACAAAATGGAGGGGTGACACAGTAGCTTAGTGGTTGACACTGCAACCTCACTGCACCAGGGACCCGAGTTCAATTCTAGATTTGGGCGACCGTCTGCGTGGAGTTTGAACATTCTCCCCGTGTCTGCGTGGGTTTCCTCCGGGTGCTCCGGTTTCCTCCAAAGTCCTGTTAGGGTGAAGGGCAAGGCTGGTAGGCTGGTTTTGGTCATGAAAAAGAAGGAAGCATGTGTCAGGTATAGACAACAGGGACCCAGTGAATACCTAGAAGAGTATAAAGGCAATAGAGTATACTTAAGAAGGAAATCAGAGGGCAAAAAGGGGATTCGGCAAATAGCGTTAAGGAGAATCCGAAGGGATTCTACAAATACATTAAGGACAAAAGGGTAACTAGGGAGGGAATAAGGCCCCTTAAAGATCAGCAAGGCCACCCATGTGTGGAACTGCAGGAGATGAGAGAGATACTAAATGAGTATTTTGCATCAGTGTTTACAGTGGAGAAGGATATCAAAGATATAGAACATGGGCAAAAATAAAATCTTGAAAACTATCTATGCTGCAGAGGAGGAGGTGCTGAATGTACTAAAATGCATAAAGGTAGAAAAATCCCAGGGACCTGATGAGGTGTACCCTACACTCTGCAGAAGTGAGGGAAGAGATTACTGGTCCCTTTGTTGAGATATTCGTATTATCGATAGCCACAGGTGAGGTGCCGGAAGACTGGAGGTTGGCTAATGTGGTGCTGCTATTTAAGAAAGGTGGTCAGGAAAAGCCAGGGAAATATAGGTATGCCTGACATCGGTGGTGCGCAAGTTGTTGGAGGGACTCCTGAAGGACAGGATTTATACGCATTTGGAAAGACAAGTACTGATTAGGGATAACCAACATGGCTTTGTGCATGGGCAACCATGTCTCACTAACTTGATTGAGTTTTTGAAGAAGTAACAAAGAGGATTGATGAGGGCAGAGAGGTGGATATGATCTATATGGATTTCAGTAAGGTACTCAACAAGGTTCCTCATGATACATTGGTTAGCAAGGTTAGATCGTATGGGATACTTGGAGAACTAGCTATTTTGATACAGAACTGGCTCAAAGGTAGAAGACAGAGGTGGTGAAGGGTTGCTTTGGTATGCTACAAGGGTTGGTGCTGGGTCCACTGCTTTTTGTCATTTACATAAATGATTTGGATGTGAACACAGGAGGTATGGTTAGTAAGTTTGCAGATGGCATGAAAATTGGAGGTTTAGTGGACAGCGAAGAAGGTTATCTCAGAGTACAATGGGATCTTGTTCAGATGGGCCAATGGGCCGAGGATTGGCAGATGGAGCTAAGTTTAGATAAATGGGAGGTGCTGCATTTTGGTAAGACAAATCAGGGCAGGAATTATAAACTTAATGGTAGGGTCTTGGGGAGTGTTGCTGAACAAAGAGACTTTGGAGTGCAGGTTCCTTGAAAGTAGAGTTGCAGGTAGATAAGGTAGTGAAGAAGGCATTTGGTGTGCTTGCCTTTATTGGTCAGTGCATTGAGTATGGGAATTGGGAGGCCATGTTGCATCTGTACAGGACATTGGTTCAGCCACTTTTGGAGTATTGCATGCAGTTCTGGTCTCCCTCCTATAGGGAGGATGTTGTCAAACTCGAAAGGGTTCAGAAAAAGATGTTGCCAGGGTTAGAGCGTTTGAGCTACAGGGAGAGGCTGAATAGGCTGGGGTATTTTCTCTGGATTGTCGGAGGCTAAGGGGTGACCTTATAGTGGTTTATAAAATCATGAGGGGCATTGATAGGTTAATTAGGCAAGGTCTTTTCCCTGGCGGGGGGGGGGGGGGGGGGGGGGCAGTCAAAAACGAGGGGGCATAGGTTTAAGGTGAGGGGGGAAAGATATAAAAGGGACCTAAAGGGCAACATTTTCATGAGGAGGGTCATGCATGTATGGAATGAGCTGCCAGAAGAAGTGGTGGAGGCTGGTACAATTACAACATTTAAAAGGCATCTGGATGGGTATTTGAATAAGAAAGGTTTAGAAGGATGTGGGCCAAATGCTGGCAAAAGGGACTAGATTTGTATAGAGTATCTTGTCGGCATGGACTGAAGGGTCTGTTTCTGTGCTGTATATCTCTATGACTCTAAGTGCAGGTTAGGTGGATTGGCCATACTGAATTGCCCCTAGTATACAGGGATGTGCAGGCTAGGTGGATTAACCATGGGAAATGCAGGTTTACAGGAATATGGTAAAGTGTGGGTGTGGGTGTTGGTGGGATGTCCTTCAGAGGCCAGTATGGACTGGATGAGTTCAAGGGCTGTTTCCACACTGTAGGGATTCAATGAATAAAATCATGGAAAGAGTAGCTCTCTCGGACAGGGTTCAAAGACGGGATGATGCTAAGAATGAGTAACCATTTGTATCTTGGTTATTAAAGAACAATACAATTACGAATGTGCAGCTGTATTTGGAAAAACACATCCCATGCCATATATATGCCTCCAGAAACCTTTCTTTTTTCATTCCCCTCCAACTACTTTCACTGCAAAGGGCAGCTCTTGTGTGATAGTACTTAACTTGGTGCCTGACTTGGTGTGGTGCTAGGAATTCTAGAAGTTCCCAGCAGTGACATGTATTACTGGTGCACAGCAGTGTTGGTACAGCAGAGCTGGTGCTGAGATAATGGGATGAGCTGTTGAGAATTGAGAGAGAAAATTCACTGGAAGCTCAGGGAGAGAAATCTTAAGGTTCTGAAGTAGAGTTGTAGCTCAGGTTGTGGATGCCGTGGTTGGTTTGCTCACTGAGCTGGTTCATTAGTTTGCAGACGTTTCATTACGCTGCTGGGTAACATCATCAGTGCAGCCTCCGATGAAGCGCTGTTGTGTTTTCCCACCTGGTATTTAAACAATGAGGTCCATTGGAATTGGTTACCTCATTTTTGGTTTTCCTTCACAGTGGTGTATATATGGGGTCTAGTTCTGTGTGTTTATTGATGGCCTTCTTGGTGGAGAACCAGACCTCTAGAAATTCCTGTGCTTGTCTCTGTTTGGCTTGTCCTAGGATCCTGGTGTTGTCCCAATCAAACTGGTGGTTCTCCTTATCTGTGTGAATGGAGATGAGTGAGTATTGGTCGTGCCTTTTTGTTGCTAGTTGGTGTTCACGCATTCTTGTGGCCAATTTTCTTCCTGTCTGTCCAATGAGAAATCCTTCATGAAACTGCCCAAAATTGCCACGTAATCAATTTTTGGTAAAATTCAGCCCATTAACTCCATTTCTCTCCTTGTAGCTACAGCCAGACTTGCAGAGAATTTCTAACACTTTTTGTTTCAACTTCAGATTTCCAGCATCTGTACTATTTTGCTTTTGTATTAATACAACTTAGCAATCCAATTTGTTCAACAGGGAGAATTTGAATAGATCTAGTTGCCCGCAAAGAGAATTTAAACATATGGGTTCAATTACGTTTCCCCTTATGGAGACAAGATTTTTGTCTGGAACAAAATTTCTCATTGAAAGTACTAAAGAACTCAAGTATGTGAGTATTATTATCGGTGAAAGGTTGTAGAATTTTGAAGTAACAACTCCTAAAATATATTCATGCTGACAATGCTCCCACCTAAAAATTCTGATGGCACATTTATTCTAAGGTTTTCTCCTATCATTTTGCTTTGTCAGACTCTAGCTTGATTTAAATTCCATTTTTCTTTTACCTGAGATGCAGTAATGTCCAGGGTCACACTTCCCCTGTGGTGAAGAAAGACCAACTTGCGCACAGTAGAATTCCCCCTTTACGCGGAAAGCAATCATCCTCTTCTTTCAAACCCATACGTCCTCCATATGTGCCTGAGGCAAAAACGTAAATATCTCTAAGTTATTTATGTACTTGATGAATTTTAATTCAAAACAAAATTACAGAGAGTTGAAGGGGCTCAAATTCCTGTCAACAGTAGCCTTCAAAAAAACTGAAGTGGATAAACACTGAAGGGAAGAAAAGAATCCAGATGCTGGCTAATCAACAGCTTAGTGGGTTGAATTCTATAGCTCCTTAAGAGCCACCACAGGAATGTTGGACTGAGCAAGTGCATACTTGCTACAAGATTCTGATTAAGAACATAAAAAATTGCAATGTGAGTTGTGCATATGGCCTATTCAGCCTCTGCACAATGTGACCTGGGTTGAAACTGAACATTTTCGTACCTGTGTTATCCCTACATCCCTTAATTCTATGACTGAATGATTTGCTTTAATTGCTGTTTCCTATTAATATATCTAGATCACTTCAGGTGAAAATCTGCCATAATGCCACGGTCCCTTTTTTGACCTGTTTAGCACAAAGTCAAATTGAAAACAACTCAACTTGGCATGATCAACAGCAGCTATATTTGTCACAGTATATTGGAAACAATCATACAGCAAGACTACAATGAGCAGGCAAATCTGCTTCCAAATTTATTTAAATTTAAAATAGTTTAGACTCTGGTATTTACTTTCGGATTGTATTTCATAATTACTGTGAAATAATACATATAACAAAAATTCAGTTGTTTATTTGAAATATATAAATCATAATGATCATGATGAAGCTAAACCAACATCATGAAGCAATTTTATTTGTCTCCTACTCACCTGCAGGGCAAGATGTGATGTCTGCACCCGTACCTTCAGTACAATAAAATCCTAATGGACACAGATTAATCTTATTGCCAGAGACACAAAAATATCCTGCAGGACACACAACACATTCAGTCCCACCACTATGATTCAGGAAGGTCCCACTTGGGCAAGGGACAGGTTTATAGGTTCCAGCATGACAGTAAAATCCCTCAGGACAAACACCACCACTTTCTCCGTCTAAAAAAAGCAAGTTATTAAAAATACAAATAATAACTTTTATCTGTACTGGGAGATTTTATAGTTATCCACATTCTTTGATTAAATTATAATTGTCAATAACAGCGACGATGTTAGGGATAGCTTTGTGCTATGATCTGGTTAGGAACTATCAATGTTTAAAAATAAATCTGTTCTAACCAGTTCAACTATATCACAAGATTTTACTTTCTTTTAACAAAACAAATGTTACTATATAAAAGACTTTAAAAAGTTATCCATCCTAAGCATAGGCTTATTTCCTACTTCCCCAAGAATTCCTGTCCATACGCATCAATCTTAAAGTGATTGCGTTGTATGGTAATGCCTGATAAGTATGTCACTGTCGTCTGGAAATTCTCCTTAGCTCCAGCCAGTATCAAACATGAAACTTTAAATTTCTCTTTCTCGAGTGTGGAGGCCTCAGTCCCTTGTTCTTGTTAATTTTCTAAGATTGCCAAACTAATCAAATTATTTTATTTCACAACAAAACACTATAAAGCCTATGGTAGATTATCTTCTAGCTTCAAATTAGGCAGTTTTCTAGTTGATGTTCCCTCAATATTCAAACTGATATTAAACTCTGTCCCCGTTCAATGCAATTAATGAAGAGGCAAGTGTTCTTTATGCTTACAGCACAGGTCTAACTCTTTTGTTTTGACTAACCTGTCTCAGTGGGCTGCAAACCACACAATGTCTAAAGTGCAACAGACAACCTCGCCCAGCAAACACCCAGCTAAATGGAGAGCAGAGAACCTTCCCCTGCTTCTTCCATCTTCAGGACAGCTTACCCTGGTCTGGACTATTGTCAAAACAACTTTCAAACTAATTATCAGATCTTTACAATTTCTCCGGCTATGTAAACCCACCTGCTGGTTTATAGATTATACTTCTATTTCGAAGTATTAAACAAATAAGGGCAATCTTCAGAACTGCAATTTCTTTAGGTGTTCTGGCAATCACAAAGGCCCAGCATTTTAATGAACTCCCATTTCCCATAATAATCTTTCCAGAACTAAAGTTTGCCTGTAAAAAATTTAAAATGAATTGCACGCGAGAGCCAATCACACAGTTGCTGGCAGACAGAAGGCAATTTGTCATTGATAATCAGTTATCATTGTACAGACCAATCAGCTACTTCTTGCTGGCCAAATTTCATTTTGTACACACATCCCCCTCCCCCAGCTCTGGCTCCAGTCCATCAGTTGTCCTTCCCTCATTGCTTAAATAAGCAGCTGAGTAGACAGCACTTAAAATGAGTGTCAAGTAACTTGCTTTTAAAAAGTGTACTGATTCCTTCAACGATCTTTGGTTTTAAAACTATCCACTTCCCACTTCAGTCCACAAAAAAAAAAGCACAGAAAAATGATAAGACCTTTACATGTGTGAATCCTGTTACTGGTGATAGGATCTCCCTTCAATCAGGTTGTTTAACCAAGATTTTACTTCGCCCATCAAAGGATGATCTTTCTTCCCCCCGGGGCTCTATAAGTAGATGAGTTTAGCATCTTCTTATAGAATTATAGGATACTGTTACTTTAATTTGCCTAACTTTGGAATAGCTTTGGAAATTCTTGCTGAAACTGTCTCCAATTTTCAATTGAAGTACTGTATATACTCAAATTATGCGGCTTAGACAAAGAGATACATTTCTACTTAACAACGAAGCATTCTGATCCCCCCCATATATACAATACTTCATTTACATTTAGTCTTCTCTGATTAAGCTTTGTGGTTATTTACCTATACATCTTAAGATCTGTGTTTCCTGAACCTTGAAAGTTTTACAATAGTTGCTCTGACTCTCTCAGACTTCAACTATGACAAGCTGTCTGCCAGTATTGAACCAGTTGCTCCTGTGTCAAGTTAAATTCTGTTTCAAAGCTCTGGGGCAGATTCAAATTCATGGTCCAGAATCTGTTTTGACTCATTTTGACATCACTTAGGAATACTGTCTTTACGTTCTGTTCTGCACCTTTAAATTATTGAATATTTTCCTTAGAGTCTGATTTCTATTTTGCTGTAAATTTTACTTTTGCAGGATCTTGTCTTTGTTTTTGAAGTGATGAAAACGCAGTTAACTGGCGATATTTTCCAAAGTGTATCAACTGGCCACACTTCTAGCACTCAGCACCCCACTGGACATTTGTTGTGATTGTGATTCTATTTGTAGCCTAATCTTGTAGAATATATGATCAATGACATTAGTTACCATGCTTTTGGGAGTCTCATGATGTCACCTTGGGGCCTCTCCATCCAACTATATTGGGAGAATCTCCGATGTTGCCTTGTAGTACTGATAGATTCTGGCCCCTGATTACTGCTTGCATGTCAATTACATTGCCTCTTCCAGGATTACATTCCCCTTGGGGGGGATCTTGCGGCAAAATGGTTGTGTTCCTATCCCTGGACTGACAGACCCAGGTTCAAGGTTGTCTTGCTCCCGAGATGTGTAATAACATCTCCGAACACGTTGTTTGGAAAAATAGGTTAAATTCTCCTTTGATTATAGAAAATCAGAAAGCTTCTCATCTGCTACACTAATTACTATGGAATCTTTAAATAATTCATCCTTCAAAGTTCTGTAACTGAAAAACACTTTGAAGTGATACAAATCTGTTGGAAAGGCTCCTTTGATTCCCCCCAGTGCTGAGATCTTTAATTAAATCTCACCTGTCCTATCAAGTTTCAGATTTCACTGTTGGCCATAGTGGGATTCAAATCCATGTCCCTAGAACATTAGCCTGTGGTTATGCCTTACTAATCTAGTGACATTGCCATGACACAGCAATCCCCTATGACTTTGTACTGGAGCTCCTGTCCCTACAGGCGATCATGCCTGACTGACCTGGCTGAATTCTTTGGGTTTTCCTTCTTCCTTTCGAAATGTTCCAATCCTGTGTTTTCCTCTCCAGAGTGTTGCCAGTTTGTGGGTATGCTTCAAAGTATTTCAGGTTGTTTTTCCACCTTTCAAAGGTTTGTCTCTCTGTAGTTCCATAATTGAAATTTTCTGAGGTCTTTCTCCACCTTCAGTGTCTTCTCATTTTCCTGCTTCTTTTTCCACTATGTCTTCCGTGGTCTTCTCCTGCCTTTGGAGGCTTCCCTATGCAGCTGTGACCCCTGGATCTTTTAACATCAGCTTTTGGCTCTGATTATTTAGCCCCTGGCTGTCACTATGCTTTAGTTTGTGCTTGAAACCAATTCTGCTACCTACATAATGAGATACCAGTCTGGTAACGCGTGCTGTGGGTGTCTGCACGTACACTGTCCCTGAGGCTACTAATCCTGGTCTCCAAGAAAGGTTCTTCTAATCCTTGTATGTTGTAATACACATTTATTTACATCTGTACATAATATGTTATCAAATATAGCTCACCAGTGTGGTATCTATGACCTTGCTCTTCAAATATTGATTCTTGATTGTAGATTGTACATTGTAGATTCTAGACTGGTCTCTTCTCTCTTACTGATCGTAGTTACATTGTGTTTTACATATTATTGTGTGACAGAGTTAAGCCCAAAAAATATTTCATAAAAGAAACATAGGAAAATTATAGAAATGGTTGTTTGACTTGAACCACAAGCCTAAGCTCAACATTTAAACGAAAGGATTTAGGGAAAAAAACACTACAATTCAATCTCCTAGGATGAATTGCTCTCTTTTCAATAATATAGACATTCCTATCAAACCTCAGCCTTTAGGTTCAAGCATTGACATATCTAGAGTCTATAGATTCATTAGTGTAAAAATCATTTCTCTGGCCTGTATGACTCTCTTCATTTCACATTGAAAATATGATTTATTTACTGTCAAAAGGCTGTGACAAGTAATACATTTACCTGGAATGGATTATTGGAAAGTTCCTTAGGTGTTTCAATTGAAAGAATTCATATTATAACATAAAAACTCTTACACATACCTTGTGGATTAGGCTGGGAAGTGTGTCCGATGCAATAATAGCCTTCGAAACACAAGCCGCTGGGTTGAGTGAGACCAATGTTTCCACAGTAATGTCCTGGATCACATGGCAAACAACCAGCCACTGAATCCCTTCCTATAGAAAGCACCAGATCATTCCCATATTAGAAACAAATTAAATGCAAAGAACTGCAGATGTTGGCAATCCAAAACAAAAAACAGAGTGTGCTGGAGAAACACAGCACGATGGGCAGCAGAGAAACAGTTAACTTTTAAATGAAGGGTGACTGGATTTGAGATGTTACCTCTACTTTTGTCTCAACAGATGCTGCCTGACCTGCTGTGTTTCTCCACCACATTCTTTGAGAAATAAATTAGTATGGCAATATAAAATGATGAACCCTGAAGTGGGGTGTTCATAGTTGGATTTTTTTAGTAGCATAAATGTTTGCCTGGATGTAACACAATTGAAAAATCAGAATGGTTGCAATTCACACTTCTGAAGCAAATTATCAGGAAGGAAAATTGGGTGCCTTTCAGGTTCGGTCACCAATTCAGTTGACTGTTCCGTGAAGTCGCATCAGGCATCAAGTGAACTCAAATGGGGATCTCTGCAAATCTCTGTTTACAAAACAACAACTGCCATATGGATCTCAGTATCAGTTTTACTTGGAACTTAACTAAAACCATGAGTAGCCTGAGATCCAAGGTTGCTGCTGACATTCAAATATGGTTTAATTATTTCTATAATAGAACTATAGTGAACATGGAAGCAAAATTGCATATATGTAGTGAAACTAAGCATGTTGATATTGCATACTGAGGATATTCTTTGGGATTTCATGTATTAAAATGATGAATATGGTTTTGACTTAAGTTTCATAAGTTATTTATACCTTTTGAAGGATTGTATGTCCCAATTGGACAAGGCACTGGCCTCTCAGTCCCACTCACACAGTAATAACCAGCAGGGCAAACAGTACCTTCAATGCCATTATCTGGATTTGGTGATCGAGCACCTGTAAAGATCAAGCAGTGTGCTGTAATCCTAAATTATTAACAATGTTTTGTTCTACCTAATAATTCAAAAGTATGCTCCAGAATATGCAATATGTTCCAGATTCTCTCTCTCTCTCCAAGTGATCTTGATAATGCATTAACAAAAGGTAGCTTTGTACAGTATGGGTTTAGGTTCTAGACACTGCATTTGCAGATAATTCCAATCATTCTCAAATTGAAAAGATCTCTGCTTGTGAGTCAATTTCACCCAGATGCTACATTCTGTTATAATAAAACAAAGACTTGCAGATGCTTGAAATCTGAAACAGAAACAGAAACAGAAATTGCAGGAGAAACTCAGCAGGTCTGTGGGCAGAAAGCAGAGTTAATGTTTCTGGTCCAGTGACCCTTCTTCAGAACCAGGGAAAGCTTTTCAGTTGATATCAATCTGCTGATGAGCATCCTAGAATCTTCAGCCAACAAACAGTCTCTCAAACTCTGGATTCAATCATGATTAAACACATTAAAACATACTGCGGCTAGACTGCTACTCTAAGCTAGATAAATGACAGCCTATTCATTTATTTTTCATCATGTACTATTGAGACATATTTTAAGTTTGGCCTGCCCAGGTGAAGTTTGCAGGTCTCAGCATGGTGCAAGTGTTACAACCACAAACACATTCCAATTATGTTTTAAATAGCTTTTTGAAAGGCTGCTGCAGCTTGGATTATTTTCCTTACACTTTATTAAATGCCAATTACTATCTTGATGTACCACACAATATTACTTGTGTAATAGTAATTCTTTTCCTACTTTATGTCGAATATTTCATTCAATTTTTTTTGCCAAAACGGCTGTTAATAATGTAGCTTCTGCTGTTGGAAATGTAGAATAAAATTGTAAATGGATATAAATTACATCTACACCCATTTTTATACTCTATCGTTAGAGAGGCAGATACAGATATACATAATTTCATATTAGATAACCAACAGTGCACATTGTACACCCAATATACATTTGGTTAATACCCAAAATATATTTAAAGGAATGAAATGATTAAAAGCAAATCAAAACCTGAATGCTTAAGCCCAATCTCAGTTCTATCCTCTAATGTTTAAAGTCAAAAAGCATCAATGTTTTGACTCCTCATTGCATTCACTGCAATATCCTAGGGAAGGATACAATTTGTGGTCTTGAATACTGTAGAAAGTGAATTAGTCTAGTAATCAATTAAATAAAACATGGCAAGTACCAATATTGAACTAGCAGCAGAGTGATAGTCTAAAATCCACTACGGTAAGTTATTAAATGGAATAAATCTGATCAATATATGCTGTGAGAAGTTGCCTGGCAACCTATCTACTGTGTAAACAATCAGCCATCAGGGATGGGTAGTTAACATGCTCTTTCCAACATTGTCCAAATTGAAAGGGAAAATGTGAAGAAATTTGCTCTGTTACCCAGTTTGCAGTAATATCCTCTTGCACATGGACCCTGTGGAGATGTCAATCCAAGATGACTACAGCAGAAGCCAGGGTCGCAAGGAGTACAATTACTTGGAGAGGTCAAACCAGTCTTATTGCTGTAATGGCCAATTGGACAGTCAACACCTGCATTTGGTTTTGAAAAAAAAACATATTCAGATTAAATGTGAACTTGATAAGCTAAATTTTTACCCACCTTCAATTCCATCACAAAGTTTGCTTCATTAACCACGACTCAAACAGACGACTTGTGGCTCTTTCAACTTCCTGGCAATTCATTTTAAATACTGCGCTGCCCATGTTTCCAGTTCTCCAAGCAGCACTTTCCTTGATTAGGGTTGTGTGTCAGGATAGGACAGGGTCTGGCAAGTTTTATCCCATAATTTCTTATAAGAAATCAATAAGTAAGAGGATTAGTGCTTCATTATATGGGCCTGTGCTGTCATTTCCTCTCAATACATTTTATTCCATATTTGAACATATTTCTGAGCAGTAGTCTGTGCTAGTAATGAATGGAGCACTAAGGAAAATAAAGACAGACAAGAACCAACACAGTGACAAAGACAAAAAAAAGCAACTCTGGTGCCATTAATGGAAATATTTAACAGGAATAATAAAAGGCAAGATATTTATATTAAGAGCTATTATTTTGTGCAACAATTTGAAGTCATATTGACAAGACCCTTTTGGGGACCAAGCTGTGATAAGTAGTGCTTACTGCAATAAAATACTGTTACAAGTCCTTGCCTTCCCTTTTAACCACTTAAAGAGCTTATTAATACTATTTTCAAAAACTACCTTTACTGTTCATCACAAGAGTTTCACAATCACACGGCATTTATTTGAGGGGAACTGCTCATCTATAATTTCCAACTTCAGTCCAAGGAAATAATTCCCATATAATTATGAGGCCCATACATAACTCTGACCTATGTACACAGCGAATATAAAAATAAGCCAACATTTTCACATATGAGGTATATTTGCAGAGATTTTGTTTTAAAATATGAAGGTTTCTTACCTGCAACAGAGCCTGCTTCACAGAACTTGCCCATTGGGCAAATATCACCAGTGATGCCATCAGTTGGATTGGGGTACATTGCTCCAATGAGGCAATAAAAACCAGTCAAACAGGATCCAGAGGGTTCAGTCATGCCTTCTTGGCTACAAAACTGTCCCGGAGGGCAAAGGTCACACTCAGCTAGAAACAGAAGAAATGTTTTGGATACAATTTTTAAAAAAAATCTAGATTGTACACTAGAGGACACAGAAGAGGGAATAGTTGAAGCAGGCAGCGATAAGGACAGTAATAGCATGTAATAGTCCCATTATTTTAAGTATTTAGTAGTTAATTACTCCGAATCATGAATAGGCTGCAGGAAGCAAATAATTACACAGATCAGAGTCAATTGTGAGATATAGCACTTTTGGTTGTAAGCAGTATTTGCAGATAGCATACAGAAATTGGAAACAAGGAACCTCCACAAATGACAACCGGCATGTTCAAATGTGATTTCACTGGAGGTAGTTCAGTGAAGGTTTACTAGGATGATTCCCTGGTATGGAACAATTGTCTCATAAGCAAAGGTTAAACAGTTTGAGATGCTACTCATTGGTATTTAGAAGAATGAGAGGTGATCTCACTGAAACATAAAGGATTTTTAAAAGGCTTGACAGAGTAAATGCTGAGAAGGGTATTTCCCCTCATGAGAAAATCAAACACCAGAGGGGATAGTCTCAGAATAAGGGGCCACCAACTTATGACTGAGATAAGGAGCAATTTTTTCTCTCAGAGGGTTGAGAGTCTTTGGAACTCCTTGGCACAGAGAGGACAGAGACATTGTGTATAATTAAGGCTGAAATAAATAGATGCTTGATCAGTCGGGAAATCAAGGTTTACAGGGAAAGGGCAGGAAAGCAGGTGTAAGGAATGTTGGATCATCCATGATCCTATTAAATGGTGGAGCAGGCTCAAGGGGCGAAGCAGCCTACTCCTGTTAGTATTTCTTACGGTCCAAACATCATTCCCCTTTGGGAGTCACCACAATGGACTCAACACAGCTTCTGTTAATGAGCCCTGTTTAACCTGACACAACTAACTACTTAACATAACTTGACAATAAGTGAGATGCCAATATCATCAGAAGAAAACAGCAGGATATTGACAAAGATTAATTAGATGAGATGCAGCATTAATTTTTTTTTAAACAAACATGATTTATTTGTTGCCTTTCAGAACACACGTGGTGCTAGGTTGACCTTGTTTTTCTGCCATAATATTAGCATTTCTTCAGAAGGAACAGTTCTCCGAAGAGGAGCAAGCATTTACCTGCTGAGGTTCGTCCTTCTTTGTTGCTGAAAGTTCCATGAGGATATTTGTACTCGGTGGCAAATTCTATTCTTCTTGGGCAGAAATGCCCAGGTGGACATTGCTGAGGGGCTTCGACTCCCCAGTTGTCCAACTCAGATGTGTAGCAGTAGCTTCCAGCAGGACAAGGATTACACTCAGACTGGCCTTTCAGTGCTTGGTAGAAACCTATTAATCACAAAAATTATTGCAAGTATTACTACCCAGGGAGAAAAGAAAATACTTCAATAAAGAATCTAAACAAATTGCTGATGTGGGATATAGTTCAGCCACCCAGTTCTGGATGGTTTCTTATATCTATATTGGGCATTAAGTTGACCAAATCATCATGGGCAGCATCTTCAAGAACCAGCACTGTTACGCAGAAAGACAAGGGAGCAAGTGTGAGAACACCAACACCTTAGAATTCCTTCCAAAATACACAATATCCTGACTTAGACATGTTGAAATTCGCTCATCGCCTCTGGATCAACATTGCCGAACTTCTTTCTTAACAGCATTGCAAAAGTACCTGTATCACATGCACTGCGCAAAAAGGGTAAGCAGCGAAAATCATCTTTATTTGGCAGAGAATTGGTCACAAAGAGCCTAATTACAAAATATAATACGAGAAGCCGAAAATCAAGTGTGGATCAGATGAATTCTTTTCATGAAAAAGTAGTGTTCTTTGAAGTCAAGCCAATTAAGACATTTTCAAAATGTACTCAGGGATCAAACTATTAAAGGAGATCAGGAAAGAGCAATAAAGAGCTATGTAGTCCTATCAAAGTGTACAGAATCACCCAAATGCAGCGAAGTGCATGAGGCAGAAGAAGCCCCTTTTACCAAACACTTTTGATTTTCTTTCCATTGCTAGTTAATGGATTTTATGGATGTGTACTTCGCCCTGCTGCTACATCACTGTGCCCACATGGTCCAGTATAACTGGGCACAGGATGAGAAAAATCATCCTTCTAATTTAGTTGACAAAACAGAAGGATCAGTTGAAGTTATGAACCTTATGATTATTATTGATGAGTTTGGTGACCTCCAGAGGAGATGAGGGACATCTCATTTTGAAAGAGGCAAAAAAGACAAATTGTCACTGCCAACATTAAGCTATGACTAAAGTCATAGGTCACTCTATCTAGCAGACAAAGTAGGATGGAGAAGGGAACTGAAGCAATGGCAAAAGTAACTCAAAAGAACAGGGTGAATGCAGAAAACAGAAAAAAATCAGAATGTGTGTAAATTCACTAAATTTCTGGATCTTTTAAAATAAAATTAATTTACCTCTTGGACAAGGGTCAGGACTGGGGCTTCCTGCTGGACACCTGGACCCAGGAGGACATAAAAGGTTTGCTGTGGTGGGAGAACTCTGACCTCCTGGGCAGTAGTAACCAGATGCACAGAGGCCAGTTGGATGAAACAGCCTGACGCCTTCGCAGAAGAATCCTAACAAAAGACAACCATTAGTATCTATTTCATTTTAAAGACAAAATAGCGTACCTGGCAGAGTCATATAGTTGCACAGCACAGAAAGAGACCTTCAGACCAACTTGTCCATGACGACCAGATATGGTAAATTGATCTCGTCCCATATGCCAGCAGTTGGCCCACATCCCTCTAAACCTTTCCTGTACATACACTCAGCTAGATATCTTTTAAATGTTGTAATTGTACTCGCTTCCACCACCTCCCCTGTCAACTTGTTCTCTCTGTATGAAAAAGTTGCCCCTTAGATCCCTTTAAAATCTTTCCCCTCTCAACTTAAACCTTTGCCCTCCAGTTTTGGACTCCCCTACCTTGAGAAAATGACCTTGGCTTTTCACTCTATCTATGCTCTTCATGATTTTACAAACCCCTATATGGTTACCTATCAGCTTCCAGTGGTCCAGGGAAAAAGCCCCAGTCTATTCAGCCTCTCTCTATAGCTCAAACCCTCCAATCCCAGCAACATCCCTGCTAATCTTTTCTGAACTATTTCAAGTTTCCCATAGCAGGGAGACCAGAATTGAATGCAGTATTCTAAAAGTAGCCTCAACAAAATCCTGTACAGCTGCAACATGATGTCCCAATTCTTATATTCCATGCACCGACCAATGAAGGCAAACGTGCCAAACACGTTCTTCACCACCCTGCCTACATGTGACTAGTGGAATCATTGAATCATAAAATGGTTCCAGCACAAAGAGTCCATTCAGTCATGTCTGTGAGAGTGACTTACCACCTTTCTCAATAGCCTTATATGTTTATTCTTTTCAGAGAGTGAAGTTACCTTTGGCAACCATCATTATGTAATTAGTAAAATTATGTTTACACAGACAGATTTTTGAAAGTTTGCAAATTATTTTTAAATATATAAGAGCTATTTTGAATGCATATGAAACAAATCAAAAGACGAGCACAGTTTTTATACCTGGTAAGCAAGGCAGGCAGTTCTCAGGCACCTTGCTCATGGGGGTACTGGAGAATATTCCTTCAGGACATGGCTTGGGGGTTGGTGAGCCCTCAGGACAGTAATGCCCAGCAATGCACCTGAAAGAGTCTGGGGCATGCTCAGTACTATCAATAGGACAATAGTATCCTGCATCACAAGGACCTAAGATGTAATGAAAAATATTGCAAATAATGCTCTTATCTTTTGGATCAGAAGGTGCTTGCTCACATTAATGTCTCCTTAAATTATAGTGATCCTCTTTCATGATTTTAATGTTCTATTGGCGACTGAGAAAACAAACATGTTGATCATGTTGCTGAATGAAATCATCATATAACATACGCATGGCCTAACTTTATATTGCTAACAGGATCATTGGGGTACTACAAGTGACGAAATTCTAAGTCAGTTCTTTAAAAAAAAACACGCTACACAGTCCAATGATACCATTTGATTTACTTTTGACTTAATCTGGATCATTCCGAAAGCAACTGAAATTAAACTAAAAATGGTCCCATGAAGTAGTATTGCAGCAGGCAGCAAATAGAACAATTTTCTGCTTGGAATACACCTTATATTCAAAATGACAACAGTGACCATAGTTTCAGGAAGATATTACACCAAAAATCTTTTTAAAAGTAGCCAAAAGAATAACACTTTTCAACAAAAAAAATCAGACCCCAAAAGGCATAATTTTAAATTCTACTTCCTAAAGCACCAATGCTAATTTCTGTAATATGATTCACGTGAAGGCAGTTGCAGTTAAGAGGCAATAACACCTTCCAGGGCTTTGGAAAGTCAGAATATCTTGAAAATACAGCAGTACTAAGAGAATGCGTGGCTTGCTTGTGATATTTCAGGAGAGGATGTGACAATAAATGTTTAAAGAGAGTTTGGAAATCTGGCAGAAAATACAGTCAGGTTGAAAGCACTAGGCTAGGAGAAATTATTTAATACTGAGCTTGTATTGGGGTCAGAACAAAAAGGGAATCCGTGGGGTTCAATGAAGAGAATAAATCACAAAAGATAATTGAAATGGAAGATGAGTGACACTTTGCAGTGTTAAGGGTGACTGGGGTCCTGTTCAACAAGTGATGAGAGAGAGAATGATGAGTCAAGAGGGCAGAGAGTATATAGCTCAGCGCAAGCAATGAAAATCGATGCCAGAGACATGGAAGGTTGCCATTTGGTCCATTGAATATATGCTGAGTCCTTGTACAACTGGCCAATGTTGGGTATGGTGAAGTAGTTCAGTTCATCACATTAGGTGTTTGAAGTAGAGACACTGCAGTGGTCATCACCTGGATGTCAGAGCTGGTTTTGCTGGATGCTTGATGTTCGGAGTTGTCCTTATAGCCCAGGATGGTCTTATGTGAGTCAATTTAATTGAAAAAGAAAGCGATTAGCCAAGTTGCATGCTTATTAGAAACAATCAAATCTGGGGCTATTAAAAAATGTGTTGGAAAAGACTTAAAGAGGTACATGAGAAGCTTAACTAAAATGTAATAATATTGCTGCTGTTATCCAGTTAAATGATTGACAATTATAGGCATCCAATGAGATATATCTATGGTGATCCAGAGAACCTGCCATGTCAATTTTCATCATTTGCAGTTAATGTGGTTTTAATTTACTAACCTAAAATTCAACAGTTGTAATCTCAATTTGAGAAAGTGTAAGAACTCATCACCTACCCTGCAATGGTAAATAAATGATTTACAAGAAATGGTGTGGTTGTAAGTGTAAAGGAAAATCAAATGTCCGACTGGTATCCAGCAATAACCGTTGAAAAATGCATTCCCACTGCTAAATACGTGTAGGACTTGTAATGAAGTGTTTTGCCCTGTTGTTTCACCTCTAAACAAGTTATGGGAAAAACCAAACCTGTTGGTTCAGCGAGCTCATATTGATCACAATAATATCCTGCTGTACAAATCAGAGGAAAAGATGATCCTTCTGGGCAGAAAAACCCAGGAGAACAACGATTTCCTGGGAAAACATCTTCTTGGGAAGCACAATCTGAAATATTTGAGAAATCGCCTGAAACAAAAAGATTGAAAACAAAATGCCAATTTACATCAGCAACTTTTGAGAAATGTTATAAAAATAAGAAGTTAAGATTATTTTCAGTGAAAACATGATTTTAAAAAAAATATTTTTCCTCCGAATACAAGTGATACTGGCAGGATCACAATTATTGCCCCTTTGTTGTTGCCATGAAAAAATGGTGTTTAACCTATGCCTTGAACTGATGGAGTCCTTGGAGTCATGTGTCCTGCAGGATTTTTATGTCGAAAATTCCATAATATTTATACAACATCAATGAGGAATTGTAGATTTCTATTCAAGTGAGAATAGTAGCTGACAGCCTTAGCTTAATGGTAGCTGTGAACACATCAAGATTAGAGATTGTGTTTTAAAACCCCATTTCAGATACTGAGGAAGTGCAGCATTATTGGAAGTGCTGTCTTTTGAATGAACAGTTGAACTGCAGGCCCAGATTAAAAAAAAATAGCACTATTCAAAGGTAGAGCAGGGAGTTCTTCATTGATTGCACGTACCCTTCAATCAACAACAAAAACACATGATTTGATCATTTATATCATTGCTGTTTTTTGGACCTCACGAGGCACAAATAGGGTTTGAATTAGCAACCTGTAACCTTGATGTGGTTGCCACTGTTTCAACACTAAAACAATCTTTTCAAAGAGTACATAATTGGCTGTATGGTGCTTTGGGACACCCTCATAACAGAAAAGCAGTTTATAAGTGCAAATATCTTCCTCTATCTTTCATGGTAGTGGGGCTAGTGGAGAAGGGAGATGTTACTGAAAAGCTTTAAGGAAGTGCTGCAGTACACCCTACAGACATTACATTCTGCAGCTCCATGTAACTGTGACAGTGTGTGTAGAGTATACTGGACCAAATGATAATTGAGCACTCTATTTTTTTTTAAAACGGATGGTGCTGACTTTTCAAGTACTGTTGCAGCTGCAGCCATATTTGCAACAGGAGAGTACTCCTTCATCCTCCTGACTTCAGCCTTTGAAGGATCAGGGATAGCCACTGGTTGGAGAAAAGCTGGTCTTCGCCCTGTTCTCGCAAAAATGATGTTGATGTGGTTACTCAAGGTTAGTTTTTCTTCAACAGTGGCATTCCAAGATGCTAATGGTGGGGGAATTTAATGAGATTAGACCCATTGAAAATCAGTAGTAGATAAAGAAGATTCTCTTCTTTGTAATGGTACTGTGTCTTTGGTCTGGTTCATCACATGTTTGAAATGGTCATTTGTTCTATGTATAAATTTAACTGACCATTTGGCAAAACATCTGGATGTCATTAAAGTCATGCTCTAGCCTAGCTTGTCCTCCATTATTGGAAGAGTTTTGAAGGAAGCTGAACATTGTGGAATCTTTAGCCAAGATTCATGAACAGTTTCACTCCTGATTTTGTAACAAAGAGAAAGTTATTGATCTGCCAGTTGAAGATAGTCAAGCTAGCATTGTTTTCTGAGGAACTCTTTCTGGTGTCATCCGCTTTGGGCTATTGTGACTAGAATTTCTCAGACACAGCCATGACCATTTTTCTATATGTCTGTATGATTCCAGCTACAGAGGGCTTTCTCCTCTCATTCCAATTATAATTTTGGTTTTTGAAGGTTGTTTTGGCTGAATTTGGTCCATCTAGCATTCAGCTCTTAAGTCAATTCGTAGATTCAGGCTGTGTTGGAGGTGTGAACTGAAATGGACTGGTAGAATTGAAGATCAGTGAGTTGACGTCACTTGACTCCTTTCCATCACTTTTATTAATAATTGGGAGGACACAGAAGTTTGATAGGGAATTATTAAGTTGATTAGTTTAACAATTGGTTTGTAGTAGAAAGTACACAGTTAAATAGTGAGGTTATCCAGGTTAAATTCACTGAGGGAATTGAAAGCAGGTGCGCATACTTATGGAACCTTGGCACAAAATCTAGAACATTACTTATTTGATTTTAAGTCCTTCTCATTTCTTACTATTCGTGGAAATTTCATTTTGTAGCAAGTTGTAGATTTGAAAACTCAATCTCACTCAAGCTGCCTACCTTGGGGCAAGGGTTTGCTTGTTACTGACCCTCCGGTGCAATACCAGCCTTTAGAGCAGTTCCCACTCGGTGAGCTCAGAGCAATCCCTTCACAAAACTGGCCTAAAAATATTCCAATGTTTTGAGAAAATGTCAGAACATATTTCAGTAACATTTGATTCTATTTTTGACTCATTACAACTTTAGAGTGGAAATGTTATTCAAGCCATGTGCTCTCACACAGCTACTATATATCAGATACATAACAAACACAAAAAGCTAAAGAAAGTCAGCAGGTCTGGCAGTATCTGCGGAGAAAGAAACAAAGTTAACCTTTCAAGTCCCATACGACTCTTCTTTAGGAGAACCTTAAAAACTGATTAAATAAGAATACATTCATTGCTGATACTGAGATATCCACAGTTCATACATATATTTGCAACTGACTAAGCTGTTACTTCAGAAAGCTGCAGAAATGCAAATAACCTTATCTCTATTTCCTCCTCTTCTCAGCATTAACCTGATGCAAAGCATATTTCTTATCCCCTACCTTCCATTGCTGTAAGTTTACCATTTTTCTAAGATGTAAATCATTCCCTATTCCTTCCTCCTCAAAAAACATTTTTCTTTGTTACCTGTAATTGAAAGAGATTTTTCTGCCTCTTGTTTCTCAAGACTGACCAAATGTGCAAGACTGTGGTTATATTAGAATTTAAAATGCTTAAAATAAATGATGGCTCATTATTCAAAGCACTCAAAGGACTGTTGAAGTTATAAGATATTCATAAAAGGTGCTGTATTACTTTCAAATTATGTAAAATTTCATACAATGTGCACTTTGCTAATTTACAATAATTTGAGAAAACCTTCTTTACAAGAGTAAAAATAAAACGAGAAAAAACACCACAGCAATTCACAAATTACAATTAGCAAATATTGCAAGTGTGTTCGTAATGGCTTATAACTATAATGTTAATTTCCTCAATGATAATTGTTTAGCCTAGGCGGCTATACCCTTTATATTGGCTTAATATTATGGGTTAGTGAATACCTACTTGAAACTTACATGTTTAATAACAACTTTTGTTCTAAACCAAAACGCAAAGTGGGTAGTTTTGAATGATATATAGATTTAAAAAGAACTGTGCATATTTTAATCCACAGCCCAGGAGTCATTTCTGAAAGAGTATTAGAGGGAATATCTGTACTTCCTAATTTACCATTCCCACTTACCTGGAGGGCAAATTAAGCAGTCAGCAGAGCTTTGTTGACCAAGTAAACTATTATAGGTCCCAGGGGGACAATGGTATTCTTCTCCAAAGCGGGTACGTTCTGGACAGAAGTGACCTTTTGGGCATTTCAGTGGGAAGGGGTTGGAAGTTCCACCCAAACAGAAATATCCAGCCAAGCATATTTTGCAGTCACTCTGACCTGAAAGTTGTTCAAAGGCATGTGCAGTTAGATAGAAAAATACAGTGTGCTTCAGACACACAGAGAAAAGTAAACGCTTGTGCATTTTTATACATCAATAAAATATTTTTGTTGCTTACCCACGTTTCAGGAAAGCTTTGTACCAAGTTTCATTATATGGGTTAATCCTCATAAGTCTCCCAAGTTTTTTTCACTGCAATATGTATTTTCATAGTAGATAAAGAAATATTGCACAATGTTTCAAATACACTCTCTTCACTGAAGCCGCATTAAAATAGTCTATTCATAATTAGATGCTGTCAACATGCATTCTGCTATTGAAGGTCTCATAACCAGATGTGATGCATTGAGGTCACACTTGAAAACGAATACAATAATGTAACATTCGATTGTATGTTCTACTGGGAGCAAAGGCTCACTTCAGAGTGCAATATGTTATGACATGGATTTCTCCAAAGTGGCAGATTTGAATTATTAAAAATTGTGAAAAGCAGAAGTGTGCAGAATTCAAATTACTTTAACTATCAAAGAGATATTGATGTGATGTGATACGTATTGTCATATTTCAAGATTAATACAACTTAAAGATTGCATCCAGTTTTCATTTTTATGCAAGACTGGGCTGTACCTATTTCTGAGTTGTAGGTTCCAGGGGGACATGGTATAGACACTGTAGAGTTTCTGGGACAGTAGGAACCTACACTACATTCACCACCTTTCCCTGTATGAGCCGAATACTGTGAAGGCCGTGGTGAGTTCACTCCAGATTCACAATAAAAACCAGGATCACAAGGACCTTCAACTTCTGAGAGACCTGGCCGACTGCAGTAGGAACCACCTAAGAATGAATGGAAGAAGATTTTAATGTTGCTTGCTAACAAACTGCATGATAAAAGGCACAAAGCAATTTTAATTTTCTATCTTACAGGTTTTTTTCTTGCAGGTTTAGATATTTATATGCTATTCATACTAGAGAAGGTTGACAATGAATTATTTTCAGGCTCCTACTGAAGTTGCTCTTATAGTGGAAGCTTGCAAGAGCAAAATATTTCGCTTTTTCCCTTCAAGGAGCAGTGACCAGAGATGGTCAACTGAGATCGTGAACTCACTGTATGGGGGCCCGGAGTGAGGAAGCTGTACTTTAGACATAACACAAGCATACTAAAATACTCCAGGTTCAGAATATGGTAATATCATTTTTCTTCAGGGAACCTGCTGGAATGTGTATGACCGATACATGTAATGCTTCATTGTTGGAATTTTAAAAATCTTTAACAATGAGATTGTTATTAAGCATTTAATGAAATTTTAAAATATGCCATTATGAATATCTTGTTGATAGATGGGCCAACATCTATAGTTGTCTTCAGGTCTTACTTTTTTTTTTAACTCTTTCAAGATCAAGATATTATTAAAATCTACCAATTTAGACACAATTCCAGTTTAAAGTTTTTGAGAAGACTTGTCGATCGGGCTGTTGATTTGCTTGCAGGCAGTTCGTCACCATACTCAGTAATATCATCAGTGCGCCTCCGATGAAGCGTTGTTGGTCTGTCCCATTTGTTATTTATGTGGGCCCGTTTTGATGTGGTGCTTGCTTCATTTCTGGTTCTGGTTCTGCTTCGTAGTGGTTGGTATTTCAGGTCTACTTCCACATGTTTGTCGATGGAGTTCCGAGTTGAGTACCAGGATTCTAGGAATTCCGTGCGTGTCTTTGATCGGCTTGTCCTAGGATGTTTACGTGGTCCCAGTCGAATTGGTGGCCTTCTTTGCCTGAGTGTATGGAAGCAAGGGATAGTTGATCAGTTGGTAGTAGTATGAAGCAGGAAAAATCACAACAGGAAAGTGGATGCAAGGAGTGTCAGATCAATCTTGATCCTGTTGAATGGCACAGCATGCTCAAGGGGCGAAACAGCGTACTCCTGTTCCTTACAGTCTTATAGTAGATAGTTGATAATTGGTCCGAGTGTATGGAAATGACCAACTATCCCTTGCTTCCATACACTCAGACAAAGAAGGCCACCAATTCAACTCGGACTACGTAATCATCCTAGGACAAGCGAGCCAAAGACACGAACGGGAATTCCTAGAAGCCTGGTACTCAATCCGGAACTCCATCAACAAACAGGTGGAAGTAGACCCCATGTATCAACCACTACGAAGCAGAACCAGAAATGAAGTAAGCCACCACATCAAAGCGGACCCACATAAATAACAAAACGGGACAGACCAACAACGCTTCATCGGAGGCACACTGATGGTGTTACCTACTATGGTGATGAAACATCTGCGAACCAACCTACCAGCTCAGCGAACAAATCAACAATCACAATCCCCAGTGCTAGCCCATCTATCAACAAGATATTCACAATGGCATATTTTAAAATTTCACTAAATGATTAATAACAATCTCATTGTTAAGATTTTTAAAATTCTAACAGTGAAGCATGATGTAAAATTAAAATTATGCTTGCATGACAAAAAATTCAGTACACATGCATCACATTTTATAATTAATCTGAAGATTCACCAACCTAACCAGACAGTTTTGATGTGGATCAAAGGATTATAGCAACATAACAAATGAAAGCATTATACAAAATCTTTTGAGTTTGTGGAGATCTACAAGTAGATCTAAACACAAGTGAGAAAGATTACAATTAATCATTATTTGGTCTCCAAAATATTAAGAAAATGGATGCAAAATCATCATGGTCAAGGACCACTTTGTACTTTTTCTCACCAAGGCATGGAATGCAGTCAGACCTCTTCCTTAATCCCCTGGATGCTCCAAAAGTCCCATAAGGACAAGACTGTGGGAAGGTACCAGAAACTTCTGGACAGTATGAATCTTGATGGCATGGCTCAGTTCTTTCTCTGTAGAAAAGGAGAAGAAAATAGAGATGTTTGGAAATGTTAACTGTTAATCTTAAAGAAATATATGCTGAAATTGATCTTCAGCACTGGCACCAAATGAGAGTGTGAACTGCATCCAAACAGGGAATGTGTGAAATAGCTGATGATTCTATAAGACTGTAAGGAACAGGAGTACACTGTTTCGCCCCTTCAGCATGTTCTGCCATTCAACAGGATCAAGATTGATCTGACACTCCTTGCATCCACTTTCCTGTTGTGATTTTTCTTGCTTCATACTATTACTGAAGTCAATGTTTAGTAAGCGTTAGGACTATACTGATAAAGAGAATCTGTTGGTTCCTAATAATAGGGGTCTAACATTAGGCTTTTATAGTTCTGATCAGAATTTTGCACAGGCAGATGTGTGTAAATATGAGATTTTCAGGAAGGTCCGGTCAGGTCAGATGCAGAAAAGCAGATAGTTCTAAATTAGGTAATAAAGAGGCCAATTAAAATCTTTCTTCTGTGCTGAGTGGAGTTTTCCCATTAGCAGGTGGGACCGCACAGAGGCTGCAGTTCACTGAACAAAGGCAAGGAGGGGTGGCAGTGATGATCTACATTTTGTTGCACTAGGCACACTCCCTTTACAACCACACCCAAATTGAAGGTTGGGCCACAACTGCTGGCTGGCCATTTGAGTCCCTCCATCATCGTAACCAGACAGTTCCATTTTTTAAGAGTTAAATGCTTTTATCTTCTCTTCAGCTGTTCTTCCATTGTAAGGCACCCCTCTCTCCTACCTCTGTAAGTGCGATTGCCTCCTATAAGCCATCCCTCCAGTTTTGGAGCCTACCTGCCATCCTTATTTGGATGCCAAGCACACCCTTTTACCAATCCAGTCGAAATCAAAGTCAGATCACTGCTCTTGACATGGTCCAGAGTATCAGCGGATATTTGACCCCAACATCACAGTCCTGACCAATGACTGAACATCAGCCAGGTAAAGCCAAAAAGGGTTCTAAAGCCTCTTTTTCAGGAATTCAGATTCTATTTAAAGTTTTGACTTTAATTAGGTTTGGGAATCATTTAAAAACATGCATTACTTAAACAGTTTCACAAGCATTCATACTTTTTAGTTTCATTTTGAGTGTATTAGTTGAAATAGTTAGAAAAATGTTGAAGAATGACTACACATTTCTGTAAAACATCTGTTAGCTCATTTTTCTGTGTTGAACTCCTGATAAATGCGATAATGCTCATTTTCATATTCATCTTTTTTAGGTTTGTATAATACATGGTTCCATTCTGCAATCTTTTGTTCTTTGTTTATAACTATTTTTCTTCTAATCCAACTTCACTTTATGACACTCTGGTTGAAGGACTGTACCTGTCCATTACTTTGCTTCAGCTGGAGGTTATGTTTTACCTTTACTTTATATCTTACCTATTGGTGCAGAGAGACCCTTCAGGACAGATGTTAGATTCTTCAGTCCCTGTATGGTTCACAGATGTCCCATTCTGATGTAACTTGAGGCCACCAGAACCCAATGGACAATAATAGCCAACAGGACAAATGTCACCTGGATTCACATAATATAAAAAACAGCTGCTCAAGGTGAAGAAAATGCAGACCACCAATAATTGTTGTTTCTTTTTAGCATGGTTGAAAGACTGTGTTTTATATTTTTTTCTTACTATGCACTCTGTAACCATTCTGACTTGCAAATGACCCCAAACTTTATTTCTGCACATATTCTGAACTTGGTATTTCATATTTTTGAACCCTTCAGGTTAAAACTTGGGAAAGGCAAATAGGAAGGAAGGGAGAAAGTGTAAACTATTGAACTTTCCTCACGGACTAGCTGGAACAGGAGTAGACAAATTCTGCTCCACCATTCAATCAGGTTAGGGTGCACCTGAACCTTAAGTCAGTTTTCCTGCCTTTGATTTCTCTGACATTTTAACCTCACAAAAATCTATCAATCTCAGTCTTGTCAGCTCCAATTGTTTCTGAAACCACAGTAAGGGAGAAAGGGAAGGGGAGTTGCAGATTTCTATGACCCAATTTATGAAAACATGTCTCTGGAGTAGTCTAGCTGTACGCTAAGATTACAGCCTCCTATCGTCAATGTCCCAACATAGGAGATAGAAGCTATCAAATCCTTTTAATATTTTAAAACTTGAAAGGTGCTACAGCACTTACAATTTGAAACAAAAGTGTTAAGTCACAGCATCTTGATCTAATTCCTTAAGTTTGAAAGATCCTAAATTAGTGTGTTATGAACAATATAGATAAAAATAAAATGATCGATTTTTGCTGAAATCATTTTTGGAATTGTCCAAATCTGCAGAAAATATTTATACACTGGTTTCCATTAAAGTTGAAAGTGGGGCTTTCAGGTGAGTATTTAATGTGGAAGAATACACCAAAAGAAACAATAATTACCATTCCGAAGTGCAAAATTTCCAAATGCTCTACAGTGGAGGAATGAAGAATGAGCAAAGTTCAGCGAATTGATCACAACAATGGTCAAAAAGATAGGCTTTCAGGGGCTGGAGAGAAATACTGGATAGAGAGGTTTGAGGAAGGAATTCCATAGAATAGGATTGAGATGACTGAGCATTCTCCCACCAATCAAAAAAGTAAATGTTGGATACATGAATAGGTATATAATGTTATAATATGTTTTGAGAATTTTAAGTTTAATGCATCAGAGGAGCTCAATGCCACTGGTATCTGACCAGGGCAGCAAGGGTGCTGTTAGATGTGCTACCAAGTTCAAGACAGGACAGGATACTGACTGAGGTCAGTGCTGATGGTTGGTCAATTCAGGAAAAAGGATGGGTGATTGATATTTCAAGAAGTTGGAGATTGTGTCACTTAGATTTCAGAAGCAAAACAGGAAAATTGTTGAATCTCGAGGTGGCAAAAAGGTGGGTAAGAGGTTGAATGGAGAACCAGAAAGGCAGGGTGCAGAAAAAGAAATGGGAACAGCAACCTGTTTTGCCAAAATATCAAATTATATCTGATCAGCACATTTTATTTAATGCTTTGACATTTGTTCCGATGATAGAATTTATTGATCATAACACCAATCAAGAACAATATTAGAATACTTTCACTATTTCGTAACTTTCAGTGAGATTATTTCAAGCGACAACAGCAATTACTCGCATTGTTGTTACCATTTGTAATAAAATGTGGTACCTGTAACACCATCACGGGGTGTTGCGGTCTTTGCTCCAATTAGACAATAAAATCCTGGCTCACAAAATCCTTCAACACTGTCCTTGCCTGGTTCCTTACAATAGAAACCTACAAAAACATTCAGATAGGCACATCACATGACACCTCTGACATGGGACCTCAGGGTCTTTGGGAAAGCAGGAATCACCACTCTCATACAGACATGATTCAACTTAGTCCAATGGAGAATAAATTCAAATTAATTTAATACATATTCTGATCTTCAAAATGGCAGCTTAAATGTTACCACGTGCACTTGAACACCAGTCATAATAAATACTGCTAAAGAAACATCACCTGAAGGACACAACAGGCAGTCGTCTTCACTTTTTCCCCCTGGTGTAGATCGGAATGTTCCAGATGGACATGGAACAGGGGGGGCAGTAGCACTGGGGCAAAAGTGACCAGGGGTACAAATGTCACCAAAGACAGATGCAATGGGAGTGGGTGCTTTAGATCCCTCAAGGCAATAAAATCCTAAAGAGGAGAAAATAGCAATTATGAATAAGAAGCAGGAATAGGCCATTCAGTCCCTTGTGCCTGGAAAGTGATATCAAAGTATGGCAATATATAGAATATGGGCTCAGTATCTGGCTTCTCCTCTGAAACCTGGCAGGGGTTAACCTAAAAAATATACATGAGTAATGGCTTAAGAAAAACAAGAGGGTTTTGTTGCTCATGGGTAAATCCACAGACTGTTGGGGACTATTTAACTTTCACCTTTATTTAAGGTTTACATTTGTCTTTCGGGAGAAGAATTAAACTTCTTTTTGATGTATTCAAAATGTCTAGGGGTCAGTGGAAGCATAACATAAGTACTTCTAGCAGGTTATAAGAATACAAAATAGTGAGGTATTTATGATATTAATCCAATGTGGTATTGTATTTATCTTGAACTATCTGTTTGGTTGAAATCTGAGAAAAATTACAAAAAGTGGAGAAACTCATTTCCTTTTAAGCTACCAGTTATCTATCATCAAACATCATGAAAATTGAGTGGTCATGTGACCAAGCCTTCCTGTAGAAATATTGACACTTTTTTTCACAAGCATGGACAAAAACACAAAATATTGAAACCAAATTTAAACTTAGCTGGACTATGTGCATACTGCAGACAGTAATCATGCAGTCAGACCTTGGACAATTAACTTCCCGTCAAAACCAGACAGACCTTGAAGTGCCTGGGTAGGTGTTAATGCTTATACCTCCAAATAACCTCCAGTCAACCTGCTTTGTTAGAAGTACGCTACACAGACTTGCAGACGGCCAGAGGCAGAGCGTGACAAGGACAGCACTTGACAGCTGAAGATTCAAAACAATGTTCTGCGACCTCCAAATATTGGAAGTAGTCATCTGATTGGATCCTCCTGCCCCTGCCCGATGTGAGTATTGGACACGCTACAGAATTTTCGAGAAAGGCACCAACAGGAGACACAGATCGCTCTGCTTTTTTGTGCCTGCTTCAATAGCATCCCTAGAGAGATGACCCGAAGACCAGAACCAGCCCTAGATGAGAGGGGAAGCCTAAATTGACAACTGCAGATCCTGAAACATTAGTCAATCATCAAAACCTAGGAGCAGCCCGTCCCAGCCTTTTTGAATAGAACAGAATATCCTTTATTGTCACTTGCACTACAATACAGGAGTATAGGTGTACAGTGAAAATTTTTACAATGGCTGCCTTTTAATGGTGCCATCTCAGGTACAATTACCTAGGTATAAAGCTTACAGAGTAAAACAAAAAGTCTTACACAAAGAGGATTAAGGGCAAGCATAAGCATTACTTATAGAGATAATTACAGCATAGTGAAAAGGTTTTAAATTACAGTCCTGTAACAGCAGCCTAGCATGTGGCACCAGGCCCAAACCCAGCAATTGTCCCGCAACGCTTCAGCCTCCAGTTCGCTCCTCACCGGCATTCAGCACCAACCGGGTAAGTCGCTCTGTACCGGGATTCGTACTTTCGTCGCTCCGGGAATCGCCCCAAACCCCGTCTCTCTGGGGACACGGCCTCTCTAACCGTCCGGCGGCTGAGCCGCGCTGTCGCCGCCTCGAGCTGCCCTGCACCCAGTCACGCGGTTGGCTCGCGCTCGCGGCATGCGCGATGCTTTGAGGCTGCTGAGCTGCTGTTCCCCCGCCCTGCTCCGGGACTCGCTGCTCGCGGTGTTCCCAGGCACGGAGGCTCGCTGCTCTGGACTTGCTGTTGGCTCCGGTGCTGAGGGGAGAGAAGAAGAGAGAAGTAGAAGATACAAAAAGGAAACAGGAGGAGCAGAGGAACTCCGACAGAAGCGCCCTACTGTGCCACTATCGTGCACTTATTGATTGGATATTACCAGTCCTTTCAGAAAAAGATTTGAAATACAGCAGTAGGGACTTGTAGATAGGGTGTAGTGAATCCTCAGAAGCGCATGTCAGAGTAGATAGCTAGTGTAGGTTTGAGACTGGTTACTTACAGATTTAAGACTGTTTACTGAGGAGTCCTGTGAAGAGATTGATAGAGTTTAACTAAAGTACAATAGTAGAGTCTGATAACTATTGTTTTTCCTTGATGAAGTGTTCAGTAAAGTTGTGTTGGACCTTCCCCTGACTCTTGTCCTCATTGTCTCTCTCACCATGTCATGCACCTGAGTTTAAAAAGGTGACTGCAAACTGGTCAAGGTTAGTCAAGGTACATTTGCCCACCTTTCACTTTACAACATTTCCAATAGAAATCATCAAGGCTTATGATGATGTGCTGTGTATTCAATTTATTACCTGCCCAACATGGTCCTGACGCAGCAGTAAGTCCAATCTCTGCGCAGAAATGTCCAGGAGTACACTTCTGACAATGGTGAGCTTCTGACAGCCCTAGTTTATCACTGTAAAAGTCACAAAATCAAAAAGTACATTATAAGTAATTGACAGGAATTCCAGAGTAATGGTTTTGCTCCAAACATTCACAAGAGGAAGTCAAGAAAAGACTTTTGAGGCACAACTCAATGGATTGGATGTTAATAAGGACAGGTTACATAGGTCAGGTTTCTGATAGGAAACCAAGCAGTTCTGGTTTCCCTGCTGCTGTGAAATGTCAATTTCACAACTCGTGTTTGTTGGCCTTAGCTTGCTCCTTCCCAGAAGTCAGCCTGAATGCCAAACATGGCCTCAGGTTGCACGGGGAAGACTGTAAAGATAAAGGTAAAGTAGCCATAGTCTTTAAAGTCTAAAGTAGCCAGACTATAGAGCTGCTCTCTCATTAGAGATGACTGGTGGTGATTTAACCCAAAGGTCAGGTGAGGGAAGAGGTTGAGGAGGGGAGTCCTTCATGGTAACCTCAGCTGGTGTGGGAATTGAGCCCACACTGTTGGTGTCACTCGGCATTGCAAAACCAACTGTCCACCTCTCTGTGCTAATCGACTTCCAAATGTATAGCAAATCATTAGTTGCTGGTTGGTTCAATTGCCAAGCCTGCATGTAGGGTCAGGGTCTTTAGATGGAGTGTTGGTTAACTTGGTATGAGGAAGTTGTGGCAGTGGGAAGTACTATTTCTTCTCCTGGTTCACAAACAAAGCTCTAAAAGTAACTGACACAAATGCAAAGCTAGTTAGATCAGGCCATTTTCACTGTCAAAGCACCACTAGGATGGGAGTGGATTATTCACCCATTATCCCATCTCCATGAAACAGGGAAATGTGTATGTTGGAGACAGGTTTCAGGTTTCTAAAATGTTGGTACCCGATTACAATTGACCCATCTTACGGTGTCAAAATTCACCTTAATGTATTTTTTCCTTAATTTGCTCTGGGACTGTGGAAATAAAGATTTGCCTCTTCACAAAACCAGTGTCAGAAACATAAAATGTGTTGAGGTTTGGATGAATATAATGAATAAAAAATTAAAGAACGCTGAAATGAAAAAAAACCCTTCAAAATAGCTCAAAGTAGGAGACAACTAATTGGATGGAATGGTCTATATATTTCACTATTTTCAAGATTATTAAGATTTTTTTTTAAACTGACAGGCAAAAACGTCCCAACCAGCCAGCAGCCAAGGTTGTTATGGTAGCCCTTTAAAGTTTGTAACTCCCATTAGACAACCTTCCAAAGTTAGAGCTAAACCAAATGCCTACTAAAAGACATAAAATGTTTATGGTTATTGTCACTCCTGCAGGGGCACAATTTGAGAACAAGTCCTCAGGAATGTTAGATTTAAATTGAAAATATGAGTTATGCTATTGGTCATTTTGATTTTATATTGCTAAATGGTACTACACTTAATTAAATAACGATTACGTTATCAAAAATACCTGAAGGTTCCCTTTGGGCAAGGTTGCCCTGTGACACTGCCCCTGGTACAGAAGAATCCTGGCAAACATTTGTCTCCTGTAATGCCATCAGTTGGAGTTGGTAGAGCAGCCCCCAAGATGCACACATATCCAGCACTACAAGGCCCAGTGGGCTCAGTGTTCCCTAAGAAATATAAAGCAAATCAGCAAACAAAACCCTTCCTTTCCAGTTTTCTTTCTTCAGAGAAAGTTCAAACTAAACATCTCCCATACTGACTTTGGTAAACAGTAAAAGTACAATACTGCATTCATGACAAAGAGCTTCAGGTGGAACTACAAATCTAAATTTATCCCAAAAGCTCCACAGAAAAGCCAGATCAGAAGTTGGATGAAATGGAGTTTCAGATTATCAAAGTTTTCAACCAATCCTCTCACTTTCATACTTTAATTTACACACATTTTACATATTTTTTCTTCACTATTAACCACCCCTTTGTCTTTTGCACTGGGTATCTTCACCGCCTCCCCTCTTGCTCCTCCTTTGCTTCTGTCAAAAGTATAAAAAAAATCTTATTTCCAACAACTTTCAATTCTGAAGAGTCACACTGGACTGATTCTTTCTCCACAGATGTTCCATTTTCTCCAGCATTCTCTGCATTTGTGGAAAATTTGAAAAGACCACTTGGAGTCAAAGAAGATCAAGGTTTATGGGAGAAGGCAGGAGAATGGGGTTGAGAAACATAAGCCATGATCAAATGGTGCAGCAGACTCAATGGGCCAAATAGCCCAACTCTGCTTCTATATCTTATGGTCTAAGGCAAGCAATGTCCTTTCTCAATCACGATAAGGGTCTGTGCAGTCGGCTGTCGAAATAATTAAGCAAGGCTGACAGGGGAATTCCAAGCCCAATTTGCCAGTTCAAAGTCCTGGAACACTTTCTGTGAATACAAGTCAGTCCCTTACAATGCTAAACTAGCTGCTGATATTTCCTTTTCTTCTACCCTTCACATGAAGTGGTACCATAGAAAATGTCAACCACCAGAAAATAGACACAAGCCTACCACCCTGTTCAAAATCAAATCAGAAATTGCTGGAGAAAAATCAGGTCTGGCAGCAGCTGTGGAGAGAAAGCAGAGTTAACATATGAAGTCCATAATAAGATCATAAGAAATACGAACAGGAGTAGACCACTTGGCCTCTTGAGCCAGATTCACCATTCAATAAGATCAGTGCTGATTCGACGCTCATCACATCCACTTTCCTGCCTTCCCCTTTTGATTCCTCTACTGATCAAGAATCTATTTCAGCCTTAAGTATGCACTAGGATTCTGCCCCTTCAGTTCTCTCTGGCAATGGAGTTCCAATGACACACAATCATCCGAGAGAAGAAATTACTCCTCATCTGAGTCTTAAATTGGCACCTGTTTATTCTGAGACTTTGCCCTCTGGTCCTAGACTGACAGCCTCTCAACATTTACCCTGTCAAACCCCTTAAGAATCCTACATGTTTCAATGAGATCACCTCTCATTCTTCTAATTTCAACGAATAGAGACCTAACCTGTTTTACCTCACAAGATAACCCTTCCAGACCAGGGATCATCCCAGTTAACCTTCTTTGAACTGTCTCTCATGAAATAATATCTTTTCTTAACTAAGGGGACCAAAGCTGGCTACAGTACTCCAGTTACGGCTTCACCAGCGCCTTGTAATGTTGCAGTGAGATTTCCTTGTTGTTATATTCTGACCCCTTGGAATAAGGGCCAACAGACCACAAGTCTTCCTGATCTGAGTACAGTGACCCTTTTTCAGAACCATTCTGTCTCGCTTAGTTTGGCTTGTATGCCTAAAGTACATCAGACCATAAGCCAAATTGTTAGTACACTGCACAAACGTTGTTACCCTTCCAGTAATTTACTCGGAAGATGCTCAATACTAGATCAAAGGTGTTAAAATAAGCTTAAAAGATTGCGTTCAAGTATCAAAATCAGAAAATATGAAATTTCAACTAAGTCTGGGTTTGTACAACAAATTGAAAAGGGCCTTTCACTTTGGTTTTATAATTCAATGCAGCCTTCATCCCTATTGAATTCTATGTCTCTTGTTTCAAAATGTGGCAGCCTAGTCTGAAGCAGGTCTCATTCTCTCAGCACATAAAATGCTACATGGGGTTGGTAAAAAAACGATAAGTGTTAAAGGACAATACCACAGCTGAAAGCATTGGCATATGAGATTGAAGGCTGCCACATATTGTAGGTCAAATTATTTTGAAAAGTCAACAAAGAATTGGTGGTTAAATTATTCCAAACATTTCCCTCCCGATCAGCTCCCAAAAGCTTTGACTTTATAATGATACATAGTTCCACAGGGTCCAATTCCCCAGACCTCAGCCACGTAACCATTTCACCCCTCCAAATTCAGACTTTATGTGTTGAGAAGATATTGTTCCTAATTTGACCAAATGGTGCATACATGGCTTGTGCCCTGTTTAATACACTGTTAAAATGCAATTGGGGTTCTAACAAGACTGACTTGTGTGTTAATGGCACTCCTGTTTAATTGGCCAGTTGCCAATAAAAAAGCAGCAACAGAATTCCTGCAGGGGGGAAAGGAGCAGAAAATGAAAGTATTCAAGTTTAGCTAACGCTAATTTTACCCAATATCCAGCAAGTGGAAGGAGTTCAAATTTCTACCAGAGGTATCACATCATAAGTGCAATGCAACAGAAATTCATTTCCACCTAATGTTTTTCTTCAAACATTTGTTGACAAGTAGAAAAAGTGTTTTGAGAATACATGAACCCTGGCAGTACATTCCAGGATCACAAGGCAAGCAGCCTGATGCTTCGTGAAGCCCAGTTTGGTTTCCATAGGTACCCTCAGGACAGAAGTGCTGGCTTGTAGATTGAGGTGGACAGTAAGATCCCAATGGGCAAATAACAGGTTTGAACACTCCTTGAAAAAAATGGTAAAAGAGAAGAATGCAGACAATTCAAACATTATCAACTATCTAAGACAATCATTCAAATGTGGACTGCAACCAGAGACAATAGGGTTCAACAACAGGTAATGTAGTTATGGGGACCCAAGGGGCTGCTTTCATGGAATCTCTGCAACTATCCAACACTAACAAGAACAGTGGTTCTTGCAAGTTATGTGGATGAGAGCAGAGACGGCTGCAAGGATGAGAGAACTGACCACGTTACTGTGGGACAGGGAGCCATTCAAGTGGGGAAGAGGAAATAGGAATGTAGCGGTTGTAGGGGACAGTATAACAGGGAGATAGAAACTGTTCTCAGTAGCTATGACATGAGCCCTGAAGGGTGTGTTCCTTGCCCAGTATCAGGGTTGATGACATCTCCTCATAGCTGGAGTGAAACTTGGAAAGGAAGGGCAGAGATACTGCTGCTGTTGGCCATGTTGGTACCAATGACATTGAGAGGACCAGAAAGGAGGTTCTTCTGAAAGAATGTGGACAGTTAGACAATATTTTATAAAGCTGAACCTCAAAGGTAATAAGCTTGGAATGGCTACTTGAGCCAGGGGCAAACTTGTCAAGGACTTTAATGTTGTGGCTCAAAGGTTGGTGTGAGAGGAATATAT